AAATGAAACCCCACGCTGTCCTAATCCCATACCCAGCACAGGGCCACATAGCCCCTGTCCTGAAACTAGCCAAGCTCCTCCACTCCAGAGGCTTCTTCATAACCTTCGTCAACACCGAATTCAACCACAGCAGACTCCTCCGAGCCCGTGGGCCCGAATCCTTATTGGGCCTCCCGGGCTTCCAGTTCCGGGCCATACCCGATGGGCTGCCTCCATCGGATAAGGACGCCACACAGGACATACCTCAACTTTGCGACTCCCTCACCAAAAACGGCCTTCCCCCGTTTTTGGAGCTCATTCAGAACCTCAACAGCTCCACCGATTGCCCGCCCGTCACTTGCATAGTCTCTGACGGGGTCATGAGCTTCACGCTTGATGCTGCTGAAAAGCTTAATATTCCAGAGCTCGTTTTCTTTACCACGAGCGCTTGTGGCTTCATGGCTTATTGCCACTATGCTCACCTCAAGGCCAGAGGATTATTCCCACTCAAAGGTAATGAGTTAAGTTTAAGTTGGATATATTTTGACGATTCAATTGTAAATATTTAAATATGGGTAAAAAAAGAAAATCCAAATGAAAAATTTTTATATTCCTACAACTATAAACAGTTGGAATCATCAAATTCCAACTATAATTCTAAGAAAAAATATTTTATTTCAAAGGAATATTATAGTATTGAATCATCAAATTTCAACCACAATTTCAAGAAAAAATATTTTATTTCAATGTAACATTATAGTATCGAATCTCTGTTAGGAATATTCCAACATGTTCTATACCATTGAAATCAGCTGAAATCTTGATTAGAACATTTTACCCGTAATTTTTTCCTTACAACATAGCAATTCTTTTGTAGTCTTACTGAAAATTTTATGATTAACAACAAAATTACCACATTATCATTAATTAATTCATTATTTTTTTCCATTAGCAATTAATTTATTTTCCAATCCACTTTTTTTCTGGGGAAAGAAATGTGCTATGTTTTAATTTTTCTAAAACTATAAAAAATATAGAAGTTGATAAGTTGTAGCTAGCCTACTTTCCAGTTTTAATTATTAGTTTCATATAGTATGTATATATATGGTATTTTGGATTGTTTGGTGTAGATGAGAGCCAAATCAGCAACGGGTACCTCGAGACGGAATTGGAGTGGGTCCCAGGGATGAAAGGCATAAGGCTTCGGGACTTCCCGAGCTTCATCCGCACCACGGACCCGGACGACATCATGGTCAACTACAACATCCTCCAAACAAAAAACGCGTCTCGGGCCCGGGCCGTAATCCTCAACACATTCGACGACCTCGAGAAGCCCGTCCTCGACGCCCTCCGCCAAATATTCAACCGCGTCCTCACCGTGGGCCCACTCCAGCTCCTCGAGCGCCACCTCGTCCAGAGCCCCGAGTCCCGGTCCCTCGGGTCGAGCCTATGGAAGGAGGACGACGCGTGCGCGTCGTGGCTCGACCGGCGGGCCCCGAACTCGGTCCTGTACGTCAACTTCGGGAGCATCACAGTCCTGTCGCCCGAGCAGCTGCTCGAGTTCGCGTGGGGCCTCGCGAGCAGCGGCCACTGCTTCTTGTGGGTGGTGCGGCCCGATCTGGTGAGCGGGGACAGGGCCGTCTTGCCCGAGGAGTACTCGGAGGAGGTTTCGGGCCGGGCCCTGATGGTGGGCTGGTGCTCGCAGGAGCGCGTGCTGGCCCACCCGGCGGTCGGGGGGTTTCTGACCCACTCGGGATGGAACTCGACGGTCGAGGGGGTGTCGGAGGGCGTGCCGATGATCAGCTGGCCGTTTTTCGCGGAGCAGCAGACCAACTGTCGGTACGTGTGCCGGGAATGGGGGATGGGCGTGGAGATCGAGGGAGAGGTGAGGAGAGAGAAAGTGGCGGAGCTCGTGAAGGTGTTGATGGAAGGGGAGAAGGGGAAGGAGATGCGGAAGAGGGCGGCCGAGTGGAAAGAGAAGGCCCACTCGGCCGCGAGGCCAGGTGGGTCGTCGTACGAGAATCTGGAATTGTTGATCGATGAGGTTCTTCTGAAGAATTATTAGACGGAAGGTGTAATTAATTAATATTCTATAAGGTTTTCGGGTTTCAAGCCTTGTTGTGTTTGTCGCGTGCACGGGTTGTGTTCGATTGTGTGTTGATCAGACGAATATGGAATGGAATAAACAATGTAAGTTTGATCATTTAGTTTATTTAGTCCCTAGCTAGGAAAATTGGATTGATTGATTTGTGTTGTGTAAGTACTTTGTTGTATCAATTATGGATGTTTCTTGCATATTGAATGGGATACGTTGTGGTCATTCAAAAATAAAAATAAAAATAAAAAAATGGGATACGTTGTGGAAATTGATTTGTGTCATTTGTTCAATTTCAATATATGCATTTATCTATGTATATTTTTTTTTTCTTCTTCTTCTTACTTTTTTTCATTTGGAAGCTTTAATTTTGTGTTGACAATTCAGTGAATGTAGGCCATGCATGTCCTTGTAGGTGTGGGGACCTATTAGTGGGGTTGAATATGAAATGTTGTTTTAATAAGAATTCCAACCAACTGAACCACAACTTCATCAATAATCATGTTAATCTACAGGAAATATTTGACCCGGTCGATGTAATGTGACAGCCATTTATAATACAGAAAAGTCAATTTTGTATTTGATAAATTATTATTATTATTATTATATATATATATATATTTTTTTTATTTGGTAAATTTGTTGCTAGCATGTATTGTGAATTGGATGCCAGAAAAATAACAATTTGAACATAATTTAGTGGATTACCGCAAGATTTGGCGTGACTTTAGAAATCTGGTGCTGAAGTGAGGGTATTGTTTTAGGGTGGTCACAAAAGTATCTAAAATATTTCAAATGTTATATGTGTACGGGCATATCAAGTAATTTATTGGGCAGAATCACATGTTTGAGAATTGACAGAAATTGGGGGAAAATGGATGTTGGCCCACTACCATGAAGGACACCATGAAAGAAGGGAAAAAGTCATATGAAGCCCAAATGGGGTTCCATCCCAAAACCAATTGGTGGAAGGAAGAGTAGCCCATTAGTCTTATAAGGTGGGTCTATTTTTCATATATGAACGATGTGGGACAACTCACAAGTGATATTCTAACAAGAATCATACACATGCAGTATTTCGGTAACAAAAACTCTAATAATTCGTGCCCTACATGACTGTCCCCATGCACAGATGGTTTGGGATCGATTGGTGCCAAGTAACAAAATCTCTAAATTTTATGGGTTTAGTTTCAGTCAGTGGCTACTAACAAATCTTTTAAATGGTTTTGATCTACAAAGGAAGAACTGCGCTTGTTGGTTTGGGGTGGCTGCTAGGAAAATTTGGCATGCCCGTAATTTGAAAAAATTTCAAGGGAAAGTTTGCAATGTAGATGTGAGGGTGAAGGAGATAAGGCAGGTCGTTATGAGTATTGAAGTTGCTATTTTGTCTAATAGGCAACTAGGAGGAACAGGTCTTGTGCGGGAGTGGCAGCGCATAAAATGGCGACCTCCAGAGCCGGGCTAGTGGAAGGTCAACTCTGATGGAACCTTTGATAGACTGTCAGGGTTAGCCGTAGCAAAAGGCCTTATTCGCGACTCACATGGGAGATGGGTTGGTGGGTTCATGCACAATATTGGATTTTGTTCAATAATCGAGGCAGAACTTTGGGGTTTATACGATGGGTTACAACTCGCTTGGGAACTTCAGGGTCGTAAAATCTTAGTTGAGATTGATAACTCTAGTATTGTTCAAATGGCGTTGAATAGTGAAGAGCCATCAGGGATTCATCGGAGCTTGCTTTTGGGTATCAGAGATCTCTTGAGGCGCAATTGGGAAGTCGTCCGCCATACCTATAGGGAAGCCAATTATGCGGCCGATCATTTAGCGTCACAAGCGACGTTGGGTTCATCTGGTTACTTTAAGCTGTATAATCCGCCGAATGGAGTTAAAGTTTAGTTGGAGCATGATTTAGCGGGGATTGCTTATCCTCACAGCGTAGTCTTGTAGTTTCGACCTTATTGGGTTTTGGCTCTCTCTTTGTACGAGGAAAAAAAAAAAACTCTAATAATATGAAACAATAAGTTGCTATAGAATATATATTTTTATTTGAGGGAAACTTTTTCATTGATCATAGAAATATAGTGGTAGAAATTAATATTTATTTTCATACAATGTTATGTGATATAAAAAACAATAATTCATTATATGATGTAATAGAAAAAAATAAAACAGTAATTAACAATGTGTGTGTGTGTGTGTTTTCCTTATGAAGTTCGGTGACAATATAAATGTTAAATCGAAGTTCATCAAGAAATGATTAATTTAATATATTATATATGTAAAACTGATAAAAAATACAAAAATTAATAACTTTTTTAAAATATATTTACAATTCAATGGTTATAATAAGAAATGATATTAAAATGCAATTAATACATGTATAAATAATCAACATATTTATGGATAATCCAAACCTAATTATGTTTTAATTGAAAGTAAATTAAAATCTACCCAAGCCTAATAACGAAACATGTAATTTTGCCACATAGGATCCCGAAGCACGCGAGTCTGCTACTTAGATTCAGCACGTTCTGAATTAATAATTAACTAGTACAATATCCATGTATTACACGGATGTTGAATTAGAAAGCTTTTGAAAAAAATATTAATTTTTTTAAACTAAAATAATTAAATTTTATATAAAACATTACTTTGAATTTTAATTAAATTGTCAAATTATATTTTTTTAATCATAATTATTTAAAACCCGTACATTAAATGAAAATGTCAACCCGTGTTGAATTTGTTTATTTAAATCATATAAAAATATCGATATTATTTACTATTACATAAATACAAAAATATATATCTTAAATAAATAGTAATAATATGATAATATGTATATGCAGAAGTGTAGAATATATTTATTTAATATTAAGCAAAATAGAGTAATGTTTTTACTTAATTAGATGTCTAATACATCAAGTGTCGTATCAGTCGTGCTTCAAAGTTTTTTAACTTTATATGTAATTTTAGAATTTATATAAATAATTATTTATTTTTATTACATTGACAACATACCAATTAGATTTGAAGTAAATATCATAATAATAACACTCGTACATTAAATGAAAATGTCAACCCGTGTTATTATTATTATAAAGATAAATATATTTTATTTATTTTATATATACAATATGGATATCAAATCGAAGCTCATCAAAATATGATTAATTTGATATAGATAAGAAATATAAAAGTTATCAACGATTAAAATATATTTGTAATTCAATGATTATAATAGGTAATGATATTAATTAAAATACAATTAATACAAATATTAATTTATATTCAAACCTAACTTCAAACCATGATTTTTTGTCAAATAAAATTTCGAAACATGAGAGTTTTTCACGTAAGCTTAGCGCATTCTAAAATTATATATAGAGCGAAAGGGATATATAAGAGAATGGATGATTGCCAGTAGGTCTTCGCATGGTGCATGGATTATACGAGGTTATCTAAATAAATGAAAGAAAACATAAATAATTAACGAATACTATATTTTCACTATTAAATGAATTAATAATTTATAATATATCCAGAGGCAACCTAACTTTAAAACGAGATAGCTACCCAGGAAANAAAAAAAAAATTAAAAAAAAAAAAAAAGTCCAAAAGAAATAAAATATTAGAGCCGACAATAATGACCGCTTCAAGAAATCAGCTAACATTTAAAACAAAATTATCAAAGCAACTAATAACTACATGTACTGCATGAATTTTCTACATCTTTCGAGGTGGGTAGAGGCTTGAGACTTGGAAACTCTCAGCTACTCTTCAAACCCATCCTCCACTTGTGTCCAATAATTTCAATTTATAGTATTCTCACTTTTTTTCTTTTTTTTTTTCTTTTTTTCTTTTTTTTTTCTTTTCTGAAACGTTGAATATAATAAAACTCGGAAACAAAATATAATATCCGGGAGATTACATAATAAGACCTTGTTTGCAAGGATCTTGCAGAGCAAGTGATGATCAACGGGAAACCAGAGGTCCCAAAGCCAACACTACTAAAAGACAAAGACCAAAGCCAAGATACTATAACTAAATCAACAACACAGAAAAGAACTAAAATATTTACAGGAAGAACTACACAAAAGACAAGGCAAAACTACAGAAAGCTAGCACAAAAGCAGCACCCTCCAAGCCTGGCAAGCCCCACAAAACACCTTGTTATTGGCTGAAAATCTGCACTGCTAAGAATTTTATTAATTAATACAAATCATAATATAAACTGTCCAATTGTCTGATCTCAGAATAACAAATTAATCAATCAGCAAAGCATTGACTTCTGGCCCAATATCAATATTCTGATACAATTTGATGTGCCCAAATAAATCGTGTTAGTTATAGTCTCTTCATACAATATTCTAATACAATATATATTTTAATTGAATTTAAAATAATTTTTTTTATATTGTAAAGTTATAAAATATATGGATAGTATGGAAATGTTTTGAAAATTGATGTGAAAGAAAAAATTCCAAAATATTCATTCGAGTTTGAGAATGATTTTTTTTTTTTACGAACGATTCACATAAAACAACAACACTAGAAAGCAGTCACTCAACCGAATAAGCAGCCACACGATCGAATAAACAGCTAACTCATTAAATCTAGTTGGGAGAACTACAATGATGGTAGCCTAGAACCAACCTAAACACTAACTCATTCCCAATGGAAGAGAAAAAAAAAAATAAAAACACAATCTAAACACAAAGAAAAACTCAAAAAACCACACCAAGCAACACGATGGCAGAGTCACGGCCCAGGAACCCGACCCAAAAACTGCAAGAGAATGCCTAACTAAGTCCGATACCAAACGGACCCAACCCCTATCCAACCGGACAAACCACTCACATCCGACCAACACCCCCAAAAACACCATGCCGACAACACCGACCTAGGCCTTGAAAACAGAAACCTAACCTCGACCATCATCGGCAGCCATCCCCTCTGCCCGACACCAGAGCCGATGAGGATGCCGAGGGCAGGGTAGACATTGCCAAGGGCCGCCTGGCCCGCCGACCCGGCACGGACTAGGCCCGGTCAAACCCGTTGACCACGGGTCTGGAACCGACCAAGATTTCAGACTGGCCATTTAAGGGTCATCCATTTCATGACTCGGCCGGGCCGATGACCCTTTTTTTTAGTTTTTTATTTTTTTTATATTATTCTATATTTTTTTCTTTAAAAAATGACGCAAAGTCGGGTCAGGGCCGATGACCCTTTTTTTTTAGTTTTTTATTTTTTTATATTATTCTATATTTTTTTCTTTAAAAAATGACGACCCGGCCCTGACCCAGCATGGACCTGGACCCGGCCCGACCCAGTTAACCGGTCATGGACCCAGCACGAGCATATGTCCGTGCCGGTTCAGGGTCCATGAAACCTAACTCGGAGGCCCAGATTTTGGCTTTGTCTAGGGCAGAGGCGAGATCTCCACCCCAATTCGACAAACAGAAGAAATGGGGCCGCAACTCACACCCAGAGGACGCTGGAGGATAGCCACAACAAAGATTCTGGAGAAACGACCACCCGCCACTCCGTCCAAGCAGCATAAAGACGGAGAAAACGAGACATGGCCCGAGCGAAATCTCCCCTCCAAGCGGCGAAACTCCCAAAAACAAGCCACGCTGCCCAGGAGCTACCACCAGACGCTCGACGAGCCCAGGTGGGGAATACGTCGGAAAAGAGGCTGAGCGAGGGCGACGGGATTTAGGGATTTGGGAGAGACGAGTTTAGCGATTTCAGAGAATGAATTTAATGATTGAAGAAAAATTACTATTTAATATAAAAATTACTGCAAAATAGAACAAAGAATTGAGTTTTCAGTTGAGATGGTCTAAATTCTTATCTTTCTTAACTGTTTGGATTTATCTAATGAATTTTTCAATAGGAGATGTTCTAAATTCATATTTTTTTTAGTTGTTCGGATGTCAGCTATTGTATAATCTTTTTCATTCCCGAATGAAATGAATTAGACGTTGATGACATGACAGACAACTAGGGCACATTTGAATATGAGACAAAACCATAGTAATAAGTTTTGACTAATCGGGTTATTTTGCTTTATATCTTTTAACTGCATGAAAATGATACATTGTCAACCTAGTATACAACTAGGTTGACAATAAACATAAAAATCTCCAAAAAAATAAAGATAAAAAATACACAAGTGAATATTTCCACTTGTGTTGTCAACCTAGTTGTACACTAAGTTGGCAATGTAGCATTTCCCCTACCTGAAACCCAACTCAACTCAATATTATTAAATAATATCAATCAATCATCTTCGCTCATCATTAACTTTAATTCTTTATTCATTCACTCACATAGTTTTAATTATCTGTCCCTTCCAACAACTCCTATCCTACTTTTACATCACATTAACTTTACTTATTATATTTAAAATATTATTTAATTACAAACTCAAAATACCCCTCATTTATTCAAAACAAATCAATTTAACCAACTAAATCCAATCGAAAACAGTTAGATTCATATACAATTCCCCTTACTAATATTGCTCATTTGCTTAGTGTGATGAGATTGGACTAAATTAATACGGTGTGGATGGATCGTACTGTGCGGATGTATATGCTCTTATGTTTGAGACGCAATTACGCATGATTGGTGGTTGGATTGCAAAAGTGATATATTAGAGCAACGTTTGTTTCTTTTGATAAATTATAAGATAAACTTGTGTGTTGCCAATTTTGTCCTCTTCTTTTTCCTTGTTTTCTTGTTTTTTCGTTTGTTTTTGTTAATTTTTTTATGAGATAATAAATGAAATAAGATGGAGTTCCCTCAACTTATTTTGATTCTCAAGTCAACGGAGGATTGAGGGTAAATGGAGAAAAGGGGCAAGGTTTTTAATATGCTTACCTTTATTTCAATTTTATTTCAATCTTTCTTTCTAATTTCACTCTCCAGTCTCCAGTTTTACTTCAGTTTCTTTCGATCTATATTTCTCCCAATTTCACAAAATTCTGAAAATGACCTCACTAAATACTATAAAATCGATCTATAGTAGTCATCGTTAATCTTGATGATAGAATCTGGAAGAACAAAAAAGAAATTCACGTCTAGAAAGGAGTTGCGTCCGGTCAGCCAGCGACAACGGCCGCAGGCTCGGTTGGGGCCTGGAGCAGCAGGATGATGGGTCTGGTCTAATAGCGATGGAGACAAGAGAAAACTCGGTGCAGAGAAAGACGCGAGGAAGACGGGCAGTGACGGAGTTAGGAAAATTGGCGGCGGCATAGAGGCCGGAAAAATAGCAACGATGGAGATACTGTGTTTATATATATTTTTAGTTATTTGTCGGGAGTATGGCACTTCGATTTGTTGCTTTTGAAGAGGAACTAGTATTTGACCCTGTGCATTTGCACAAATGTAAATACAGTATTGTGAGTAATTTGTATCAATATAATGATTAATGATTTTTCTTTCACTTTTTTTGTAGGCCAAATTTACAATTAAAATAACTGGAATATTTATTTTATTATTTTGTTTACCAGATTGGATGAAACATATATTTTGGTATGTGTTTTTTTAATTATTTTACTATTTATTTAGTAATTTCAAATATGTTTTTTATTTTCCAAAAAAAAAATTAAATGTAACCACAATAATAACATCTAATCACATTATACGGTCAACACATTATATGGTCAACTATCAGTAATCAAAAGTTTAAAATGATTTTTGTAATTTTGAAGTGATTAGTGTGTTGATTATCTATTAATTAAATGAAAGGTTAAATAAACTAAAAGTAACGGCTTTTGGAGGGAAATGGTTATATTGCCACATAGGTAAAATTAAATAGGTTTTATTAAATGCTACTAGCCACTAATTATATATATATACATTGTTATAGAGAAAGGGTGAAATGGTCATTTACTGAAGATGGCACTGTGCAGATGAAAAATATCTTGGGCCAGCGGGAAGATTATTTAGTCAGCAATATTAGATTAAGAGACTTTTATCTCGAGCCCAACATTATCTTGCGGGCCACTATCATGAATACCAAACACAAGATAACCCATGATTACTGGGGTTATCCTACCTAATCCGGCCAGCTCTTGTTTGTTCCACCTACACACATAAGATATCAAGTCCAAAATTACACTATTTTCACATCTACCCGCTCATAGAATACACACAATTCCTTCACTCAGAGGAAAAAAAAAGTAGGTGAAAGAAGAACCAGAAAATGAAAGCACATGCAGTAGTAATCCCATACCGGACACAGGGCCACATAGGCCATAGCCCCCATCCTCAGACTCGCCAAGCTCCTCCACCACCGCGGATTCTTCATCACAAGCCTTTTAAAGGTATGTAATGTATGTATGGCTTTCTATTCTTGGACCTTGCTAGTTTTATTTATTATATGTTAGCTTGTGATATTCATCTATATATATATATATATATCTCACTCACTAGTATATATTCATGCCTCCCAAGTGCAAGGTGTAATAAATTGCATATACAACAGCTAAAAACAACAAATTCTTGTCTGGACTATATCCTTTGATCAACTCATCAATAATCAGAGGATTTAACTTACTTATAGCTATCCGTAAATTTCATAATTAACACAGCTCAAAATTTAACTTCATCTTACCGGTTGGTTTTGCGGACAACCGCTGCTTTACCAACGGCTATCTCGAGTGGACATGGCTTGCCTCGAATGGCTGGACTGGAGGCCCCCCAACTCCGTCCTGTACATTAATTTTGGCAGCATCACGCCGCTATCCCAGGCGCAGATGGCGGAGTTCGCGTGGGAACTCGCCGGCAGCGGCCACAATTTCCTGTGGGTAATCCGGCCGGATCTGATTAAGGGGAAGGGTTCGGTGTTGCCGGAGGGGTTCGCGGAGGAGATGGGGGGCAGGGGGCTGATGGTGGGGTGGTGCGATCAGGAGAGGGTGCTGGGGCACGGCGGCGTGAACGGGTTCCTGACGCACTGTGGGTGGAATTCGACGGTGGAGGCGGTGGCGGAGGGGGTTCCGATGGTGTGCTGGCCGTTCTTCGCGGAGCAGCAGATGAATTNTTTCTTTTCTTTGGAGCACTTACCAACGAGGTCCTATCGATGAACTCGAAACTGCCCAGTTCAAAACAGTTTAGCTTGGTCAAAAAATACCATACCATACCCCCACCTAAAAGAACCAGACTTCGACCTTCCTTAATAAGGTTTTGTTAGACAATTGGCTGTTAGCGGATTGTATTAGCTGTTTTGACCAGCTGATAGTGTTAGTTGTTTTGACTAGCTGATTATATTAGCGGTTTATAAAAATATGTTTGGTAAAATTAGATGTTTGTTATTAGCTATTAATATATCAAACTATTTGTAATACACTTTAATATATATTTTTTAGATTATAATTATAATCACCTTAAATTATAAATTATTTACATATTTAGAAAATTGAAAATTAATTAATAATAATATAATAGCAGAAAGATAATTTTTTTGCCTTGAATATTTAAAATGAAGAGTCAAACAGTAACTAAACAAAAGATTTGAAATAAATAGTGACATATTAATATTGTTATTTACAAATAGGAAATAATGAATATTTAACACTCAAGACAAAAGGATAATAAAAAATAAGGCTTGATAGTGTGTATGCATTTTAAACAATAAGAAATAATTAATACTTTACACTCCACACAAAAAGAAAAGAAAAAGGCGTGAGTGTCCAATGTCCAGGCATTTTAAATCATTTAATTATATGCCCCAATTTAAAAAAGCTAATGTGAAACACTCCAAGGACCAGCATTTCCAAATTTGGCTTTTTGGATAAAAACGCTGCACTCATAAGCTATTTTATTGTCAAACAAGCTAATTTTGGTTAAAAAGCTAAAAATTGGCCAAAACACCATTATCCAAACAAGGCATTAATGGACGAGAGGATCTTTTTGCCATTTGATCATTTAGACCATCTTCGACCCTTATTTCTACTCTAGCGCGGACTTTACTCTACTCTAGAGTAGAGTTAAACATTCATCTCCAGCCATTATCTCTACATTTTACTCTACATCAAATATATTATTTTTTATTTATTTTTTATTTCAAATAAAATGATATATATATATATATATATTTAATCTTATATAAATTTGTTGTACCTAAATAATAATAATAATAATATTTATTTTTATTCATATGTTGAATTTTTATTCATATGTATCATTTAAAATTATAAAATTATAAAATAAACTTATACTACATCAATAAATAAAAAGTACAAAATTATTTAGCATAAAAATACATTACACAAAGTTATTTAGTAAAAAAATACATTTATTAATACACATTAGTAATTTTCAAATTTATTGTTTATAGCTCATGACTTAAAACTGAAAATTAGTTTATATGATAAAAGTGTTTGGTAAAACTAGTGCATAGTCGGTGCGATGCACCATGCACGGGACACATATATTAAATCAGTCATTTCCATAGGGTTTGTTCGTTTAGGCACAAAAATTATAGGGTTGAATCATCCATTTTCCACCTCTTTTAATTAGTTGTGTTTATTTTGGCCAGAACATTAATATGTTAAAATATATTATTCCACTAACACGTTATACTAATATAAATTTGATTTTAGAATATATACTTATTATTCATTGATATAAGAAAAAATAAAAAGTTTACTTATTCTTGTTCACCATATAATACCCATTATTATTTTATTATAAAAAATTATTGTCATATAATGTCATTATTTGTATTTATAGAAGTTATAGAAGTAGTCTTCTTCTTATTAATTTATGTAATGAAAATTAAATTTTGTGTATAAATGTTTACAAAATGCACACATGCTTTTTAGGATTCAATTTTCTCATAATAATTAAAAAAAAAATGATTTAGCAATTTCCAAAAAATAAATACCTTACACAACCAAGATATTTTTCTAATTTCCATCCTAAAACTTTATAGTTTATTTAACATACTATGTAATAAATATATTTTGCAATAAATTCATTATATAAACAAATTAAAAAAGATAATAAAATAATTATCATGGTTGACATTATTATACAAATAGATCACATATTGAAATTTTAAAGAATAAATAATATCTTTTAAGAAATGTTCGTTTTTATATTATTAAATAAAGGTTACAAAAATTATCGACAAATATTAAATCATCAACTTGATTTTGCTTAATTAGTTGGAAGGTGAAAATTATTTAACATGTAACGGTTGTTTATAAATATTTTAAGATGAAAGTCATTATTTGTGAGGAAAAAAATTTAATAATATGGTTAAGATTTAAAATTTATTTTATGTTGACATGAATCACGGAAAATCAAATTGTAAATGAATATCAATAAAATTATCAAATTTAATAAAATTATTCAATGAAAGAGTTTTTTTTTTATCATATCTTATTTAAAAATGTGTATATGCAAGAAATTAATGCATATAATTAAAAGGTTTTCAAATAAAGTATACACTAGTATAATACCCGTGTATTACACGGGTGTTAAATTAAAAAGTTTTTGTAAAAAATATTAATTTTTTTTTAAAAAACTAAAATAATTTAATTTTATATGAAACATTACTTTGGGTTTTAATTAAATTGTTAAATTATATTTTTTAATCATAATAATTAAACACCCCTACATTAAATGAAAATATTAACCCGTGTTGATTTTTTTACTTATATCATATAAAAATATCGATATTATTTACTATTACCTAAGTACAAAAATATATATATCTTAAATGAATAGAAATAATATGGTGATATGTATATACATAAGTGTAGAATATATTTATTTAATATTAAGCAAGATAGATTAATTAACTCCAAATAAGATTACGAAGTATGAGAGTATGAGAGTTTGTCACTAGACTCAATGCATTTTAAAATTATATATAAAGGAGATGTTACCAAATTTTTGTTACTATTTTTAGTAAAAATTATTCTGCTTACGAGATATCCATTCTTCATCTTCATCTCTCTAGTCAACAAGTTTTCCTAACACTACCACCTACCAAGCGTGTAATTTTGTCGTAGCATTTGTGAAAAATGGCAGGCGTTGCCGCCGCTAATCCTACTGCCTCGCCGCGGCCCCACGTGCTCTCCCATAGCGGCGGAATTAGGGTGGACGATTTGAAGCGCATACACATCGGCGAGCTGTCGCAGTCGGAACTTCAAGTCCTATCCTCCTGCTCCGGCTCCGCATTCAACGTCCGTCGTACGGACGACGTCGTGACACCGCAGATCGACCGGTCTCTCTTCAACGAGTCCGCCGGCAGCCGCCGCCAGACGTATTCCCGCCTCCATGACCGGTCGCACTCCCGACTTCCCGGCCCCCACCACTCCCTCAAACCCCACCGGCATCCGCAGTCTTCTTCCGACCCCGTGACCCACTCCATCGTCTATTTTCTCAAGCACTTTCTGAACGGAAACTACAATCCGCCACTCCCTCCACCGCCGCCGGTGGAACATCCAGAAGCTGTAGCGGTCCAGATCGACGGCTTAGGGTATCTAGGGTTACAGGAAAATTCCAAAATTAAGCGGAAGAGGATGAGGAGAGGAAAGATAATGAATAAAAGGAAGCTTCTGGAGAATGGAGTCAGAGTAGAGCTGCAGGGAGTTAATGCCAGAGGTGAGGTGGTGGATTTTGCGGAGTTGGAGGAGAAAGGAGATGAGTTATACAGTGCAGAATTGCAGAAAAGGACTCTGGGATTGGAGACTGAGGAGGATGTTCAGGGATTTTTGAGTGGTTTGGAAGGGCAGTGGTGTAGCAGGAGGAAGAAGAGAAAGTATGTGGATGCTAGTTTGTTCGGATATGTTCTGCCGATTGGCTGGAAGCTCTTGCTGGGACTTAGGAGACGTGATTATCGCGTCTCTGTTTATTGCCGCCGATGCATAAGGTGGTGGCCTCCCAAATGTTCTTCATTATTTGTGTTATTCTCAAATGCTAATGCTATACTGCAAAAACTCAAATGATATTTGCTTTCGCTTGTGTTATGTTAGACTATTATTTGTCTATGTCTATTTGGGGGGAACTCGTGTTAGAATATGTGGCTTGTTAGTTTTCTTATTTGTACTGTATTTTCAAGTTTTCCTTCATTCTTATGGCATGGGCTTTACGTTGATTCTGGATTGTTACATCTGCATTCATATGATGTGAGTTGATAATCTTTAGATTGCGGTGGTTCTTGGATTACCTTCCTATTTATAGGGAATAATTTTGTCCATTGTAAATAACCATCACCATGTTATCTGCTTCAACATACTACTGATATTTTGAAGTGTGTACGTTTTTTCAGTTATCTTGGGAAATGTTTTGTAATAATACACATTCGATCAAACCTTTTATGAGCTAGATGAAAGTTACTTGCTAATGATTTTCTTTTGTTGTTATCTTTCGCTCTATCTATGATTGTTATCTTAGTATGTATTACCAGCCCTTGCTATTCCTACTTTTTTCACAGGGCTAACTATCCCTCACATCTTTGCTCTCATGATCCTGACATATATGAAATCTGCCACACGCTTGAAGAGTTTTCATCAGATATATCATTTAAGTTTTATTAATATTATCTCAGGATTGATTCTATAATGATGATATGATACCAAGGGAACCTTTTCGTGGTTGTACTCATTGTGGCAGCCTGCGCATGTGCCTGTTTCCTTTTAATTATCTTACTACCATAGCATATATGGTTGTGTTCAAATTTGTTAAGGAGAATGTGACATTCAGTATGTTTTAAGACAGTCATCAGACAGAATTTGTTGGGATTTCATTGGGATTTTAGGAACTTTTGGTTTGTACTCTCAGTATCTAGGCTTTGCAACTTATTAGTGACAGATGCTTGAAATCCATTATCAGATAGGATGTATGCTTTGAATACGTGACTTGAAAAGCATTGTCATGTTTGAAATGTATTGGCAGTATTATTTGTTATTTTCAGATTTTTACATTCAGTGAATCCAGTTGCTACTTCATCGTTTTTTAGGTTGATTGATTTATTTCAACCTTCTAATTTGGTTTATATTCTTTATCTGATCCCAGTCCCACTGGACAACAGTTTCTGTCATGCAAAGAGGCTGCATCTTTTTTGAAATCCTATTTTTCGGGTACCGAGGCAAAACAAGAAAGGGAGCAAAAGACTTGCAGCATACAACAAGCCTACATATTGTCTTCTGGGAAGGTAAACATGTTCATACCCAGTTTCTTTTTTCTTTTTCTTCAATGTTGCAAATATTTATGTGATGAGTTAAAAATTTAAATGGTGTTTGACAGGATGAACTGCCTGGTGATGGGACAGACAATATGGCCCATGGTAAAGTGTCCCATTTAACTCTTGTCATAGATGCATCAAATTCAGTTGGCATCGAGGATTGCTTGATGGGCATAGATAACCTCCCCGAAGTTCAAGTTAAGGATATATTTGAGTGTTTCAAATGCAATCTCACATTCGATGAGAAAAATTTGTATTTGCAGCATCTCTTCTCGTTCCACCAGAATAGCACTAAGAGGTACAAGTTTGGGACATCTATTGGTGAGGGTGTGATTATTAAAAACGGGAAATACGAATGCCAGTTCTGTCACAAGGTCTTTGACGAAAGGCGTAGTTATAACGGCCATGTGGGTGTTCACGTGAGGAACTCTTGGAATCATCCTGATAAATTATCCCTTGCTGTAAATGTCCTACAAAAAGACGAACCTCCGCCGCTGGATGCAGTTCCCTCAGGGTCATCTAAAATGGATGTCTCAATTGAAATTGCTCGTAATTCCACTTTCGAGCCTTCCAGTATTGTCACTTATGAACAAGCCCCGGCTGATCAATCTATAAATGTACTGAGAACCGAAGAAGCTCGTTTAGAGATCACTGAATCTGTCAAAATTCAGGAGGAAGATCACAATAGTGACCGGGCTGTGACTGAATACTCGAGTCATGGTAATAAAATCATGATGGAAGATCACGACATGGTCAAGAATGATTTTTCATGGGATGTGAATCTTAAGATAGATGCTGGTTGCATAAATAAGTCTGAGGAAGCAAGGTCGGGAGAAAACATTAATAAGTTTGAAAACAGATGTTTGAACCCAAATCACAGTAATTTACAAGAAACACCTGCGTTAACAGTTGGAGATGTTGATTTCCAGGATGGGGTTTCCCCCGAGCCTTTGGCCCAATCATTTCAATTCTTCCCCACCTTCGATACTGTGTCAAATAAGGTAACATATTGGTCTTCGTTCTTATGTAAATGAGAGTAAATTTTAAAAGCTCTATCCTGTTGGAAATTTTATGCCAAAAGTTCTAGGCTTTTAGCATTTTAATTCTCTTACCCTCATTGACCGACTATCTTTTTGACTTCTGAAAAAAGCAGTTTTCAGTACTGTGTATTTTATTTTTATACAGAATTATGGGAGTTTTTTCTTTACCCCATGAGAGATGACCCGCAGCCATACTAGCTTCATCATAAGTATGCTAAAGCTGATTCTCTATTATTATGCTGTGCTTATTGGCAGAAAGAACATGAATTTTCGGTAGTTGATCAGAAGCTTGACAATGTTACGGGGTTTGAAGAACTGAGGTTTGAAGATTTAGATCCTTTTAAAGATGGTTTTGAAAACGGGCAAGAGTTATCATCCTTGCCAGGCAGACATATGAACTTTGAGAATGCCAGTGGGATAGCAGACGAATTTAATTCATCTGTTGTATTCGGTTCAGAGGAAGTTATGATGAACACAGTGGACATAAATCAGCTGACAGTGTGTGTGTGGTGTAGAACAGAGTTCAGACTTGAGGGTATTGAATCAGAAGCTCCATCCAATTCTATAGGCTACATGTGCCCTACGTGCAAGGCCAAGATATCGGGGCACTTTGGTGGAGTTGGGCTGTCAATGGATCCTCATGATTTCTGAGTGTGTCCACTGTCCGGAGGTACCTTTTTTTGCATGTTGATCTATTGTATTTCTATGACTTGCTTGTAATTTCATGATTGTGTCAACAATAAGATTAAAGGGTCTTTATCAGGTTACCAACTATGATTTCTTGAGTAACAGTGCCCTATTCATAATTTCATATCCTCGGAGGAAGGTATTTCTATTACCGATCAGCCTTTCGTTCTCCATTGGCGGTTAAAAAAAATGTGTTTGTTAAGAAACGAAAGAAACCAAGTGAGGAAAATAAAAATATTGGGGTCTGTACGCAAAAAAAGTTATGTAAATCAGTTCATTCAAAATTTACCAACTACCAAGTTAAGCTTAAGGTGTCCATTAAGTTTGTTTTGTTAGAGTTAGTATTCTATTTAAGTGAGTCCTTAGTCTTTCGTGTAGTTGACGTGAGAAATAAGATTGTTTTTTCGACTTTTTTAGCTTTGCTCGAGATTAATTCCTGAGTTCTTAGAGAACATAGTGTTTTTTTCTCTGTTTTTCTATTTAATAATGTTTCGTTTCTTTTACTTTGACCCAGACGCACACACATGCTAGTTAGGCCAAACCTGAGAGTTAGAGCTGTATTTATCACTAGATATTTTTATCAGGAGCTTCAGAGCATTATACTTCATGTCACATCTCTGCCTCCTAAGATTTGTGTGTTGATCCAATAGTAAAACCATTGAGAACATAGTATAGAACTCATATATCTCATACATTAACCATTAACACAGACCAAATTAATTTACTAGGCGTCCTATATTACCTGTAATTCCCGCAAAAATCAATACATGAATCATTAGACGCATACATATCTTGATCAAGTTGTATTGTGGTAATTGCAATAGCAAATATGTATGACAAACCTTCTGTGTGTTGTGCTCATTATTTTGTCCAACAGAAAATGACATAACCAAGTGTTGTCGAGGACCTTTACTCTTATTCTCCATTTGGTGAAAAAAGTCTAAACCAATCACCAAAGTTGATTGGGATATATATATGTATATATATATATATGTATATATATGCTGCTTTTTTTCAATGGGTATCGAACAAAATAATTCCATCTTCTAAAAATATACAATCTCCTATAATTCCACGTAACAACAAGTCTCCACACACACCCCACCCCAGGGGTGAAGAGAAGAAGAGAAAGAAAAACATTCTACTGTTCACAGTTTACTATATATAGGAATTCTTTAGAGCCAGCAATAACTTCTTTATGGAATCATCAATAAATTAATTTATTGACACTAGTCCCAAGTATAACTATTTCAAGAAATATATCAATGCATCAATTGATTATAATTGCCATATTAGAGCATCTGCAATGCTTTGGGTTTAATTTTGCCTATGTGGCATGTTAATAAACTCAAGTCTCGAATGGCATGGATAAAATAATATAAAATTAACAAAATTCACTCAATGCAAGAAATTAGGTCTCTACTTGGGTCTAAAATAGACCTAAGTGTTGACCGGGTCTCTTTTTCTTGCTGCCACATCAGTAGGACCCAGTCTACTTGCACTTGCATTAGAGAATATATTTTTTTAGACTGCGTCTAGTATCTAAGTGGCATATATTTTTTTTTTGATTGAACCCAAAACAATGTGGATGCTCTCATTTAATTGCTCCATTGCAAAATTAATTCTATACATGTCTCAAAAAACCGTTTTGGAGAACCCAGAGTATTTTTACACGAAATAACACGAGAGTAAATATGGACCATACACCTTAAAACACAAAAAAGAACATATATGGAATCTGATTCCAAGACCTAGTGTGTAGTGAGAATAAAGCAAACAATCCAAAAAAAAAAAACTCCAGAAGAAAACTAATGTGCATCCATTATATTAACACCCTGATACTCATTTTCCTCAGTTCTTCACAAAATGGCGAGTAAGAGAGTGAGATGCAACTACTGTGGTATGCACACATCAGTGCCTTCAAAAACACACACAATTCAGTGTCCCATGTGTCACCACATCACCTTTATTCACCCTAATAATCCTCAAAATCATCATCATGCACATAACAAATCCATTCACCAGATGTCCGTCAGGTGCAAAGACCTCATCAACCGAGCATCAACCAATATTAGCACGATGATAGCAACTATGAATACTCACTCGGGCCTCGGGGGCCCACTGGCTTTTAGCTACCAACAAACAAAAGATATAATCTCACCTTCGCTCGTTCCAGCCTCGGTTTATGGGAGAAAACGAGCAGTGTTATGTGGAGTTAGTTACTATGGACAAACGTGCAGGCTAAACGGGACTGTCAATGATGTTAAGTGTATGGAGTTTTTTCTCAACCAGAGAGCCGGTTTTCCGAGTGAATCCATACTCATGCTCACTGGTAAGACATATTTATTTATTTATTTATTTATTTTATTTTTCTAACAACTTCAAAAAAAAAAAAATTATTTGCAGAAGAATCTTCGGACCCATCTCTGATCCCGACGAAGAACAACATTCGTAAAGCCTTACAATGGCTGGTCCAAGGATGCCAGGCTGGAGACTCATTGGTTTTCCACTACTCAGGCCACGGCTCGCAAATGGAGGATTTCAATGGAGACGAAGTTGACGGGTATGATGAGATGATTTGGCCCGTTGATCATCAGACGGAAGGGAAAATAATAGACGACGAGATTAATGCCACGATCGTGAAGCCACTGCCCAGAGGAGCAAAACTTCATGCGATTGTAGATGCGTGCCATAGTGGGACCGTACTCGATCTACCGTTTGTTTGTAGAATGAATAGGTGAAGTATGTTAATTAGGTATTGTATTATCTGAGTTGCGAGGAACCTTAAAAAAATGAGGAGATTTTTTTTTTTTTTTANATTTTTTTTTTTTTTTTTAATTTAATCTTTTATTTGTTTATTTGTTTATGCTGAAGGGATGGGCTCTATATGTGGGAGGATCACAGTCGGATTTCAAGTATCTATAAAGGCACGAGTGGTGGACTAGCTGTGTCGATTACAGCGTGTGACGATCATGAGGTTTCGTGGGATACAACGGTCAGAAAACAATCTTTTTTAGTTTTTTACGATAGTCGTATGTTATTTTTTTCTCCTTTGCAAAGTCAATTGGCTATGTTTGGTAATAAGCTAGCTTATAGTTGATAAAGTGAATTTTGAGTTACAGTTGATAGCGTATGACTTATGGCTGAAAAGCTACCTTACATGAAATTACAGTTGAAATAAAAATTTCAATGGGCTTATTTGAAAAGCTACCCAAGAAGCTTGTGAGATAGGCTTGAGTTTTTTAAAAAACCTTGTCCTACCAGACCAAGCTTATTTGAATTCAGGAAGCTTATAAGCTAATAAAATAAGCTATAAGCTAGCTTATATGCTTACCAAACACAACCATAGTATTGTTTCATCAAGCTGCCAGAATCGAAATAGATGTTTATTACATGCTATTCCAAATAGTTAATAGAAATGTATTTGAGAAATGTAAATTAATAAACGAGATTTTCTTGATTAAGATAGTTGAATTATACTTGCATAGGCCTTGTCTGGGGATGCCCCAACTGGTGCCATGACGTTCAGCTTCATCCAGGCGGCACAGAATGAGCCTCGACTTACATATGGCTGTTTGATAAACACAATGCGCAGAACAATTCGCGAGTCTGAAATGGGATTTTCCCAAAATGGCCCTGTCAGGTCATTCTTGAAGAGAGCTTTGAAACCAAAATATCCACAGGTTATATATAAATCATTTTGATAATTAATTGCAAAGATGATTCTTAGTTATTTATAGCACGAGTTTTTTAACTTAATAGCAAAGTACCGGTTGTGTGCCTTCTTAAACAATAGCTTTAAGCAAAAACACACTTATTACGGCAACTTTCCAATGTCTGTTGTATGAACAAAATGGAAAGAAAACAAACAACATATACATGATCAGTGTAAAATCCTTATTCAGATAACTGCTATACCTACTAATTTAGTTGATGATCTTCAGATTTTCTATTTCCAAATCTGACTACCACCCTTTTCGTGTTTGGAATTTTCTCAGGAGCCGCAGCTGTCCTCATCAGAGAAATTTGAGGTTTACTCAAAAGAATTTTGGCTGTGAGAGATATCATCTATTTAAATATCTGTAAGTTTTTATGTGTGGGTCAAACTCAAAATGTTTTATGTTTGGTCAGAACATTTTGAACTACTAGCATAACATTAATATATTGTATCTGCTAGGCAAAATGGAAAAGTTTTGATCTGCACTTTGCTAGAGTAATAGATAAATATAAAAATAACTGGAACCAAGATAAAAATAAAAAAAAATCATCCTATAGTAAACACAAATTGTACAGTTTAGATACAAAACAATGTGATGATCTCTAACAATAAAGATGGACATATTCATTCCCATAATGCTTATATCATTAAAGATTTTGTCTGGGGCAAGTGAACAAATTATATAGCTTATGGAACATATTGAAACATATTTGGTGGAAAACTGAAATTGATTGCTGGTAGAATAAACAGACCTCCATGGTCGTACTAAACTAGAAAAAAACAAAAGAAAGTTGACTTTATGGTTTCTTGTTTGGGGTCTGGAGGCTGAGAATTGGGGTAATCTTGTTGGGTTGATTTGTATTAATTTTTTCTTTTTATTGTTTAATGATAAGTTGGGGAGAAATGAGAGTGGCCAAAGCGCCCGCTTCCCAGCGGGCCTAACATCACAACTCGGCGCAGGACGGGCCAACCCGCGGGCCTAAGTGCGTCTTAAACCAGATAGTAAACAACACAACACAAATAACTGTGGATTAAAAGATGAGTAAGCAAACGAAATCCAATTATGCTGAAACATTGTGTGCACAACCTTCTCGACAAAGAAGAACCTTACAGTGGATCACTCACCTCAAACAAATGTTGGACGGCGCTAGAATTAGGTCGGACATGAAACGACGAATTTTATACATGTGTACATTTTACGATTTTTACCAATTAATGCACTAAATTTGATGTCTGTCAATGAAAAAAAAAAGGACCAATATAGTGAACCAAAATAAAATTTTGTTATGTTACATCACCAACTCTCCTCAAAACTGGATCAGAACTGATTGAATTGTTAAGCTAATTGATATTTTTTAACTGATAAAGATCCAAATTGTTAACTCCTCCCAACACATGCTCTAATCCCAACAAATACTGAAAATTAATATAGCAATCCTACACAATTCTCCAACAGCAGCTGCTTAACTACCTCCTATCCTAGTATACAACACATACAAGCATCCAAACTGTACATACACACACACACACACACACACAAACCTTCAAGCAGCAGAAGCTTGCACGAGGCGCGCACGTGAGGACCCATACCACCGACTGTAGCACTGCCGGAGGTTCGGCCAATCGGAGGCCGGGCATCGGGTGAAGTGATGGACCCAAACAGACAGGACACACTCTTGCTCCTCCTGCTCCCCAAGGCTCGAGATTATCTCTTCCAACGTCATTTCCAATTCTGTCCTTTCCCCCATGCTTAGAACTGGGGTATCTGTGCCGCTGCTAGCACGGCACAGCAGGGGCAGCCACGTCATTAGCAGCTTTATCTTGGTTTCATTGGTGAGGTCGGGCTTTGGGGGCTTGCTCGTTTTAGTTCCGTCTTTTTTGTTATCTTTCATTTCTTTTGCTTGCTTGATCAAGAATGCTGCATGAAGGGATTTTCGTGGAAGATTATATTATATTGATTCGCATAGGTAGCTGATCAATTAATAAGACAACATCATTGTTCAAAAAAGAGTTGTAAAGCTGCTATTAGGCCTAACCGTTTTGGCCGTCGTCATTCTTTTTCAATATAAAAGTATGATATTTCATAAGCATACAATTTTGTTAGGATCAGACAAGAACTTGTCGAACAAGAAACATCTTAATTGAGGGGATTAGCAGTAAGCCATATAATTTTTACCTGATATCTTAACGAGCGAGCCCTGCAGTCGGGCCTCGGCTGATAGAGCGAGCCCAGCCAAGTTAGAAGCCGAGGCCCACATACAGATCGCTTCCTCCTCACATCCACACGCCGCCATCTTTCGAGCCAGCCACAGCAGCTCCGCCGCCAGCTTCTCGGCCGAGATCCCCGGCCCACCAACTACGCCCCTCGAGTTGGCATATCTCCACGCAGCCCGCCCATAATACCCTACCCCTTTAATCAAACGGCTCGCCCTATTGTTGCTACAGATGAAGATTTCGTCCCGGGCGCAGTCGCCGCCGCCACTCTGCCCCTGCTCCGCCGCCGCCGCGGCCTCGATCTGGCGCAGCGACCTCGTGAACGCAGATGAGAGAACGGCGCAGTTGACCTCCCTCAGAACCTGACTGCCCTCGGACAAATTCTCGTCGATGAGATTCTCGGTCAGCAACCTAACAACTTCGTATTTCCTCGAGCTCACCGGAATTTCGCTCATTATCAGCAGCAGCTGCGACAGAGCCCTGGAAACACCGAAATCTCCGACGGCGGCGGAGGCGTAGAGGTCTCCTTTCGCCGATTTCGGAGGGTAATTGGCCGATTCCTTGCGGTCCGGGGTCAAAGGGGAGAATAGAGAGGGCAAAAGGCTGAGGGAGAAGAGGAAAAAGGAGGCGAGGATGGAGCGTAGGATTTGGAGCAGTGCGTATTTTGGCGCCAAGTGGAGGAGGGATTTGTCGGCATGGATGAAGATTGAGGTTAGCAGATTTCTCAAAAACAGAGGAGCTGTGCAAGGTTTTTCCATTATCAACGAACTANATAAAACTATAAAGAAATAATTCTATGGCTCGAAATTTATGGCAAATTAGCCAATCAGTTAATTTCCTTATTGCATTTTTTATGGACGTAGGTTTATTGTTTTTGTTTTTGTTTTTTTTTTAAATACGGTACACACTAATGTGGAAACGCAATTGAAAGTAATAATTGAATATTGAGAAAGGAAAAAAAAATAAGGGAAATGAAAGACAAATTATTGGAATGTGGTCATAATCGTACTAGAAAAGTCTTATTATAGTGGCAAATTTTCGACCGTAAAACTAAAAAAGATGTCGGACCTTTGAGATTGATGATTCTCATATGCTAGGCGTGACCTGTCTTAGGTAGACATGGTCAATGGGCGGACTTCCACTGGGTCGTCGGGCCTACACAGATCCGACTTGAATGTAAGTACGGCCGATTTACAGGCCAACGGTTTTAGGCCGGGCCAGTAAACTGGTAGTTTGGGACTAAAGGTTCATAGAGAAAAAAAATTTAAAGTCTGGGCAGGACCAACTGGGCTTGCTGTCAAAAAAATCATACAAGAGACCTGCAATCGGCCCGGTCAAACTACGGGCTTGGGTTTGGACCCGTTGATCACGGGCCGATTCAGGGTTAGATCCGAGTCAAATTGGCAGGCCGGTCCGACCCTTGGCCATGCTTAGTCTTAGTTGTCGATAGTCTATACATAAATAATTATACCGAAATTTCTTTTCAGGATGTTTATTTTTTTTTTCACTTTCATGCTTTTAATGGTTTCTGTTCGTTAACTAGTGCACGACTTTGTGTGTCAATACAATGACTTAAGTATCGCAAAGAAAATTAAAAAAACAAAAGAGACAAAGTGGAGCCACATATGATTACGCTCCCTTTAAGATAAAATACTCCGTATATTATTCACAGTTTACGACTAACGTCTCTAAAGTAGAAAGGCTTTAGTTTTGATTTGTGTACAGTAATTCAAATACACAAACATTGAACAAACAACGCTCGAAGTTTCAAAACTCTAAGCTCTTAAAATATGATATATGAATGATTTTACGTTTATAGGAATTGATACAAGTCCAGGGTGGTCATTGTGTCAATAGATACATTTCGAAACGTGTCTGGTCGTCGATTAGTACATTTTTGGCATGAGAAGGTCCGGGTCGCAAGCTCGCCATGAATTGTGGCTCCGCGTGCCGAAAGCCCATACACACTCTTCCGCACTCGAAATATTGTCTGGTTTTTCCCTACTCATTTCAACGAACACTTTTACAGTTCTAGCATGCCTTATAACTCATTTGGCTTGTCCAGTAACCTTTGCATTATTTAAACTTAATTTTGAGTTGCATAAACTCAATTTTCTCCATATTTCAACTTTAGAATTAATTTTTTATTCACCTTAAAATAGTTTTAAATTTTTATTCTAAGTCTTTCGGTGAAAAAAAATAGAACCGTACATCAGCACAAACCCAAATTTTCTTACAAACCTATAATAGCCTTTTCCAATAATAATAATAATAATAATACATCAACTATTACATATTATCACCAGATGAAAGGACATCATACAAACTGTATTATAAATTGTTGACTCAATTAGCCTAAAGAGAAAATTAAGAGTATATATGGTCAGATAGGTTTACTATCCTATCCTTTCATCCTTGATATCCTCTTCAAAGAATACAGTACAAAATATCATCATCCACATTCCCAAACGATTTGCCAAACTTATACCACCATATACTTACAAAAGAAATGAGATATACTCCAAATTTATATTGCAAATATAAGCAACCACATAAGGTTAGGCAAACTAGTAGGAAGAATGTAACACAGCATCATCATTCAAAAGCCAAAGACATGAAAGTATCGTCATCCAAGAGACTTTCAATATCAAATAAATCCTCCTCGGGGTAAATTATATTTTCGATGCTTTCTGGAATCGTATCTGAAGTCTCCTGAAAAGATACAGATGAAAAACTATTACTAAATTTTGACTGAACATATTCAAATACGATACAAAAAGTGGAAAGAATCAGCACATCAAGAACCAAAACAATAACAAATATCTTGATTAACTTTCAGATTGTATAAATGAGGTTATGATATGATATATACTAAACAGTAACCCTATTGTCTCCATCATATCATCCAACAAAGTTATATAAGAGCTTACTATCTTTAAATTAAACTTCCTAGCGGTTCAATGTTGTACCTAATCAAAACCACCAATGCTAAATGAAACCTAGAATTTTGTGCCTTAATAATTTGAGAGTTACACAAGGAAACAGACAAATTTAAAAAGCAGTTTGCACACACATGGATGTACCAGTTAATTCTATTATTAGCTGAGCAGAGTTCAGTGATGAGGCCAGGCCATATAAATGTATTGGATTTTGGAAGATACTACAGAGTAAAATATTCTCGGTCAAAATGGTATGCATGCTTCTGAGTAGTCTCTTCATGAGAGAATGAAGGTACAAATCACGCTGAAAGACTGACTTTCAAAGGGTTAAAGTAGCCAACCAGATTAGTACAAGTCATTAGCTTCTTTCTGCATTCTAATGGGTTCGAATTTGGGTGCAGAATTAAAAGTACATCGTTTAGTCTCCAATTGACACTACCAAAAGACCTACAGTTTACCAAGAGAAAAGCCAAAAGATGACTCATGCCATGAGTCAGAAAGTCCAAACTAACAGGGAGAGGGAGAGAGAGTGATGTTGAGTTATTTAAGAACAATTACAACAAATTATGTTCAAACATTACACGAGTATCTCTAAGAACAGTATTAAATTTTACTGGAATTCACAATAACCATAGCATGCTGAAAAAATAAATAAATAAACTACTCACCTTCAACACATAGCTATGCATACACTTGATTTAACAACATAATAATAGATACCTTAGTTTCTCTGAAGTCTTTAGCAGCAGTCAACAGCCTACGGTACTGAGCTCGAGCTTCAGGGTATTGAGTCATGGACTTCACCCTAGCAAGTGCATTTTGCATCCTCTCTTCAGTTTGCTTTCTCCCTTCTTTAAGAAAGTCATAATCATCTTCCTGTGAATAAGTGTCCTGAGTGTTCGGCAATTTTGGGACAGCATCAGACCGGAATCCACGTAAGCCACTCCCTTTACGCCTCCACCGCAGAATCACCTTCTCCAGTATCCCCACTGACCAGATAATAGTTTTATATTTCTTCCTGACCTGATGCCCCCTGAAGTGAGCCTATCAACCACAAAAAAAGAGAAATCAAAATGAGAATACATGTTAAGGGGAAAAAGATTCACTCGTAATTAAGAAGAAAATGCCAGTTACAATATGTAGAAGAATTGCTCTTTTAAAGATCTTATAAGTCCTTGAAAAGCGATCAGTAGCATCTTAAAAGCTTTACGAATAAGATCTCACAGTGACAGACTCCATTTAATTCTTATCATTTCAATCAAACATATGCCATTAGTTGACATCTTGAAAGACCCCATTATCTTACGCACCCCCAAGACTTCAATAACTCATATACAGAATAAGCGGACATCTCATATAAATCCCCATTACGAAATGAGAAATCCCTTCGACAAGTCAATGACAGAAACCCACACCTGGATCTTAACAACTTTCTGCCGAATTAACAGAAACTCCTTCCGCTTCTTCCAACCACGGAACTTTTTCTGGATACGCAATGCAGCAGCATTGGCCCTACCACCACTGGGCTGGCCCAAGCCAGAGGCCCTGGCGGCAGCAAGAGAAATAGCACGCTCATCTGCACCACGCAGCTCATCAAACTGCTTCCTCTGAAACGACTGAATCCGGAAGATCTGATGAATACGTGCTGCCGCCTGAGTAGCGTTACAGACAGCAGCAAGCGAATCCTTGAGGGAGAGTGTGTCCGGCACATCACCCTCGTTTGTCGGATATGCTAAACGTTCAGAGACTGTCTGTATGGCTTTGGCACTTGAAATCTCTGACGGGTGCTGATCCTCGACTCCGAGGTTTGAGAGTTGAGTGGTCAGGAAAGACTCCGCGAGAAATCCGGAAATCCCTTTGTGCCCACTGAAAGATGCCAAGTCAGCAGGGGTTTTGGCCAGAGGGCATTCGGCAGATGGGTCAGTGAGGGCCCCGGGAGATGCGCCCAGAGAAACAAGGGCGGCGACTGTCTCCTCTCTGTTAAATAACACAGAACAGTTATAATGAAGCATAATTTTCTTTCTTTTTTTCTTTTTTTTGTTGACCAATGTAATGGAAGCAATTAGGAAATGTTAATCTGAGATGTGATCTAGTATCAAGTGTGCAAATACAATTTTGGTAAGATTTACATAGCCCTTTCGTATGGTTGAAAAAATCATAATTCATCAACATCAGGAAAAAGTAATGCCTAATTTACTAGAAGGTTAAACAGCTAGGCAACTGAAATTCCATGCAGAAAGTAGGAAACACACACACACACACACACCTTTCCCATACAAAAGCTGTAAAAGTTAACAAGCTATCATAGTAGGTAGTAGACAGTGAGTGAAGTATGGGCAACAAAGGGTGGTTTTAGCTTCAGAAGCAACATTCAGGTGTTAGGTGGAAAAGAAAAATTAAAGCAAGGACCGTTATGTGTTTTGTATGACAAGCAGTTCAACCATTTTACCTGCCATAGAAAGCAGCCCAATGAAGTGCTGTCCATCCATTCACATCACGGAAATCTATACTGATACCTGAAACAATAATTGGCTGAAGGGCCCAACTGAAGCCAAGAGCAGCAGCCAAGTGCAAAACACCTTGACCCCATTCATCAAGAATGGCTAGACCCTTGCCATTTTCAGTTACTCTGTGCACAAGCCAAAAGTAAAACTTCTCCTTTAGCTGCTTTTCTAGGAGCACTTGCGCTATCCCCTTCAGCTCTGACGTGTCTTTATCTAAAATCAGCTTTTCCTCCTGGTTGCTCTCATCCTCCATCAAGGAAACAATTTTATTGACTATATTCTGTCTCTCATTGTCATTTTCAACTAAAGTTACACAACTAACGGGAGGTCCAAGGGACAACATCGTCTCAAATCGTTGATAAAGATGCATGACAGTTGCAGTATCCGCATGGCCATAAGCAGAACCCATATGGTTTGTTACAGACCTATATTCAAATTCCCGTATTTCACTACAAGCCAACCTGTTCGAACAAGTTACATAGAAAGGGACAAGTCCAGGTTTGTGAGGTGGCGCCGAGCAACTAATAACTCTGTCTGCTAAAACTTCAGCTGCAACCTCCACTTGACCAAACATAATTGACCATCTGCATTTTGACAACTCTTGTTTACTCTTGAGAAAGGTTCCGATGATAAGTACCTGCAATGTGGCAATAAAATAAATATATATATATACACACACACACCTATAATAGCAAAACCGACAGCAGTATAAGCATGGTTATGAGTTTTGAAGTATAAAATGCAATAGAAATACAACTCTCTCTTCACAAGATGATGTGAAAATCCATGAACAAAATATCTAGAAACTAATAGTGAATAGACTAGTCACCCCATATATATATATATATATATATATATATAAGGACTAATCAACAAGTACCTTGGTTTCCAAATCTGCATAAGCATAGTTTGGCAAAAATTCAACAATGCTAAATAGTTGGTCCTGAGAAATTGACGGGTTCAGTGTGTCTGTATCGGCTTGCAATGTACTAGGCATGCTAGAATCATACTCACTCCCCATGATACTCCACGAAATTCCATTGTCTGACAGCAAGTTCAGCTCACCAGATCCTCCAAGTTCATTAGCCATCCAACGGGAGAAGCTGTCAACTTTCTTCAGGCTTTCATCTTTCTGCAAGCCACTTATTAATGACTTTTTCATTAAAAATGAGTAGTTTTCATTTCCTATCGTGGTCACAACACTCTCCATATTTGGATTCATAGTGCTTTCAGTCCCTGAATCTAAAGGAGATATTTGAAGATTCTTTTGCAGAGACAGCTCATGGGTAAGGGTGTAAAATGGCTCCACGAAATTCTGTTGATTCAGAGGAAGAGATTTCTCCTCAAACAAGTCACATCCATGGTCAAGAGGCAAACTCAGTATTGAATTTTGGTTCGCGGGTGGATTGTGCAACGAACAGTCTCCAAAAGAATGCTGAATAAATAATCCAAAAAATCAATTCAGGAACAAATTGAGAGAAAAACATAAGCCAGTATGATATGCAATGAAGACGAGCTGGTATCTACATAATGGAACCACACTCATACAGTCAAAATTCAGATGGATCAAAACTGGAAGGCATTTTGTGTGGCCAATAAGAAAGCCATCTAAGTTGTTTGCATGACTTTAACAGCTGATCAGTGGTTCACAATTTAGGGAACTTTGAATGCTGAATTCCGGATACATACAAATGCAAGAATAGGTGAAAACTGATTTACATTAATAATAAATAGTGAATTATCGTGGAGCCCTACTGGTCAAACACTGAGCAGATCATCACTTATTCCATGCGTAATGAAACTTTATCCCCTATGATGATAGATGCCATAATTATCCAATAATTTCCGAACTAGAGTAACCAAAAGACCGTTAACTGTCTCATTTTCTGAATAGTTTTCCCACAAGACTGAAACCCACCCCAATTTTCAAGAGTAAAAACAAATGAAAAATTACGAAGGGAATAAACACACACAATTGTGGTGCATGCTGTAAAGTAGTATAACAATCACGGATAACATTTCTGGCAGATTCTCCATACAAAGGTAACAAAACCATTATTCTTTACTTATGGTGATATCATACCCCCCTCTCCACCAACCAAAAAAGAAAAGCAAAAAAAACACAAAAACTAAAAGGGAAAAATGAAACCCACAAAGTCAAGCAAAATAGAACAGATCATTGATTAGAGTGAGACACGCAAAAGCAACACTTTGTGATAGAGAACAGATTGACGAAAGCATTGAGGTGAATCTTCTCCAGCTACACGTTTGTGTTTAGTGGTTCATTGTTATGAAACTTTTAACGCATGGTTAATATGATAAAACAGAAACACCACAGTGAAAAACAAAAAAGAAAGAAAAGAAAAAGAAAGAAAACATGTAAGTACCTGCAAGTTGATGTGGACAAGCAGGGAGGAGCCAGATTCCGGTTTGTAAGCAATGTCACCTGTTCAGAAACAGCATCACGTTTTGACCCAAAAGTGCAACAGAGTTTCAACGTTCTTCAATGAAATGGATGACTTATGTTATATCTTTATGCTACCAGAAGTGGAGTTTCCAATAACTTCTTGCCAAGATGCCAAGTCAGCTGCTGCTTTGCCTCCAGATACAAAAGTGCTTCTGCTTAATTCTCGATCCGTGTGAGACTGGGGAAGTAATGCATAACTCAAGGAAGAAGCACTCTGTTCCCCTTCAAATAACAGGGCGTCAGAAAAACAGATTGTGAACAGCTCCAAAGTGTGCACCACAGCCAGATCAATGACAAAACATAAGTACGAGCAATATGACATTATACCTGGACTGGGGAGTTGGTTATACAAGCTCGATTGAACATAAGTACTTTCGTCTGTCAATGGTGACTCTGCATATGAATGAAATCTAGAACTTGCCTGGTGATTATCCTCTACAGGGCATTCTGTTAACATATATTGTTCCATAAAAACAACTGGGTGACAAGTAATTTTAGTGCCAAATTCTACTTGGTTCAGAGACCATTAAGAGATAACGGCAGGCACAGAAACTTTACCTGATTCAGCATCTTCATATGCAGATGACAATGTACTGCTGGGGCTAGTTCCACAGAAACTGGAAAACGGTAAGCTGTTATTTTCGGAGTTGGATGCAACTATATCATTGTTTCTAAGAGAGCTGGCGTTCATCTTATTACCCTGCAGAAGAAAAATAAAAGACAAAATATAATCTCAATATAACATAATTTTGCTTCCTCAAACCTAAAATTTATAACAAATGGAAGAACTTGAGTTTCTTCTGCAAGCAGACACATAGATAACGTGGTATTGGAATAAACAGTAAACACTTTAAGGTTAGCAATACAAAAACAAGGAGAACACATAGAAAAGTTGAGCATGACGCTACCATATTTCATAAACTTACTTTTCAAATGAAAAGACTTCATGAGCAGTTCATAATTTATTTGAGCAATGGGAATGTAGTTTCATGCCTGAGGCAAATTTATTTGAGCACTGTTACAACTTACAAAAATTCAATCAGTGGGGCACTGGGAATAACTGGAAATTTACTTATTCAGTTATTCATATTCTCAAGATTAAAAAAACAACCAATAACCACCACTGGAAGAGAACTATTATGATGTTTGTCCAATCTTGGTATCTTACCTTGACTTCCAGATAATGTACAAACACTATGTGCATGAGATCCCTGCAAGATTAGAAAACAAAAATTTATGGATACTTGTATGTTACAGTTGACATATTAATTTTTCAGGAACATGGTTAGTTGAATACTAAATTATCCCATGACAAGCAGATTTTGGCTACTGAAATATGAATTAGCATGGAAGATATATATAAAAAAAAAATGCAAAGGGAAATTAATAGATACATGAATCAGTAAGTCCAGGCAACAAATCCTGCAACATTACCCTTCACTCTAGGAAAAACCACGGGACAATGATACTTGAGGTTATATTGGCATGACTAGATTCCGTGCCATGATTAGTAACTTTATTTATATTCATATATATCAATATGTATACTAGGGTGGTTTATATATATAAAAAAACAAAAAAATCAAGTGGAGTAGTGGACAGAAATAAAAATAAATAAAAATTATGGACAAAAATCAAAAGCCCGTATTCTCAGAATACGTTTTTTAATTAATTTTGTTTAAAAAAACGTATTCTGCTAATACGTTTTAAAATTATATTTGTAAAATGTAAAAAAAAAAATATTTTCGAAAAAAAGTCGAAGTTCAATAAAAAAATAATAATTATAAACCGTATTTTCGGAATGCGTTTTTTTTAAAACCCTAAATCAATTTTAGGATTTATAAAACGTATATTCGAAAAACATATTATTTTCCTATAATTTAATTTAAAAAGAAAAAAAGAAAACCTATTAAACCGTATTTTGGGAATGTGTTTTCTTAAAAACCCTAAATCAATTTCAGGGTTTGTAAAACGTATTTGCAAAATACGTTTCTATAATTTATTTTTTTTTTTTTAAAAAAAAAGAAAACCTATTAAATGACAAATTTGACGTGCGTTTTAATAAAAAAATAAATATCTAAAAATGTATTCTTAGAATATATTTTTTGTCGAATTATAAATATGCAAATTTTGCTCAGATTGGAATTTGGGTTTTGTTCATTCACTCCGATTTTTTTTAACCTTAAAAAAAAAAAGGTTTCAACCGTCAATCAGGAAAAGAGGTTAGTTGTTATTTTAATGTAATATAATCACATTTTTTTGTTGTTTATGAATGTGTAAGAAATATTGTTGGGTTAATGAGTATTGTTTAGAAAACATTGATTGTTGATTTACTAGTTGTGTTAAATGATTATATTTCGTTCTTGGATGATAGGTTTTTGGTGTATGTTGAAAATTTATTCGAAATATGGATGAATTCTATGGTATTGTTGGATTATGGGTATTAGAGTTTCGGAAGATTATTTGATAAAAGAATTGCCAATATTTTTTTTGGTTGTAGTATTAATTGGGAATATTTTTTTTTGTTGGAGTAAAAAAAAATCATTAATTATATGCTGTTGTTGGAAATGAATTTTAAATTTAGAATGGTAAAAGTATAATTGAATTTTTTGGGTGTTGGATTAGTCATTATCTGCTATGTGTTGTTGTAATTGGGATGAATTAAAAGTGTTTTTTTGCAACAGGTATAAATGACGTATAGCGGTCCATACTTTCTTAATTTGTATTGGAATTTTCCCAAGAATTTGTTATGCGATTTTGTTTTATTTAAAGAACATCCGGATGGTTCATTTGTTATTGGGGGAAGATATCATATAAACAATTGGTAGAGATGATTTATGAAAGTGGTGGGTTTCGAGAATGTTGGAAAATTGAGGAGATTACTCTAATGGTTAGACAACACGATGTTTCGTGGAATGCCGGAAGAATCAATAACGATAGTGCTCTTCAATGGATTTATTACTTTCCTCCTATGTCCATTGTGTATTTGCACGTTGCGTTGGAGGCAATTACACAGGTTGGGGATGTTACACCTTGTTACGGGGGAGTGCTTGATGTTGAGTGTACGTCGACTTTGCATTTACATAATTTTGGAAAAGGGACAAGTTCAACAATGGGAAAATGTGAACAGGGAAGAAAGTGATGAAGATTTCATTCTTGGGAAAGATAATTTCACAGATGAGACCTCAAAAATCGAATAAGATAAATCGATAAATGAGGAGAGTGAACCCGAATTGATCGAAGAAGAACACCCTTTTCCTAGTGGTGGGCGCCACATATATCGCGAAATGGGTGAATAGCAGCCGTCGAAGATAGATGAGAACGAGTTTTGTTCTTCCACTTTGGAATGTGGACATTGAGACTATAGGTTTGGGTACAATTTTTAGGAGCAAGGAAGAAGCACAAATGGATATCTTGGCTTGGAACGTTGATAGGTTGAGGGCGGTTCGAACAAAAGATTCTAATAAAAAGTCATTCAAAGTGTTGTTCAGATCTAATGAAGATGAACCTTGTCTGTGGAGGGCTCGGGTGACTAAGTGCAAACGGGTTCATGAAATGTGGGAATTAACGGAATGGACTGATAGACACAGTTGTATGCAATCGGTCGAGAAAAATGACCACAAAAATGTAACCGCCAATATGATTTCAAATCTGGTAATGAATAAGATTGAAAAGCAACTGGACTACAATGTTAGCCTGATCCAGGCAGATGTGAAAAAGTGTTGAAAACTTTATGTCAGCTATAAGAAGGCACGGCACGGAAGGAAAAAAAAATCGATCGTGTGTATGGCAGTTGGGAATCGAACTTCGCAGAACTCCCTCAGTAAGCAAAAATTAATTACAAATATATGTGTTGTTTGTCACTATGTTTATCTATTTATGATTACGTGCAGGCTTTTTGCCGCGCTTCAAAAAGTGAATCCCACCATAGTTGTAGAGTGGGAATGGCAGGTGGGGAAATGGCGCATCAATCTCGAGACAGAGAATTCAAATTTGTATTCTGAGCGTTTGGTCCCGCCATTGAAACCTTCCATAGATGTCCGCCAGTTATTAGCATCGATGACACACATCTGCGTGGATCGTACAAGGGAAAATTGCTTGTGGCTATAGCACAGACTGCGAATGAGCGGCTATTGTCAATTGCCTATGCAATTGAAGATGAACAAAGCAAGGATAGTTGGTCATTTCTCCTGACAAATCTGCGGCTATATGTTGTCTTCGACAGAAAGATATGCGTCTTTCCGACAAGAACTCGCTGCATATCATCGGATTTGCCTTCGACACCTTCGAAGCAACGTAATTACTAAGTTTAGAAGTAAGAAAATCCAGAAATTGTGTTGGGATTTGGGTTCACAGTTGTCGGAGCGAAAGTTTCAACAGACAAAAGAGCAACTCAATGCATTTAATCCCACTGCACAAGATTACCTTTTCAAAATTCCTTTGAACAAGTGGACCCTGTTTGGAGATGAAGGACATCGATGTGGCACATTGACAACCAATATGTCGGAGTGTTACAACAACGTCTTGAAAGGTGTTAAGTTCATGCCTTGCAGAGCTCTGGTACACGCCACATTTAACAAAACTCTGGATTTGTTTGAACAGGAACAAAAGAAGTCCACAAAATGCAGGAGTCTCATTGCTAATGAGCACTATGCCGCCTTTTTGGAATTAGAGAAGACAACCGCAACTCATATTAACCGGTCTACGGGATAGTGGAAGAGGGAAAAACAGGTATATGGTTTTTTTTTGTCCATTTAAATTTTTGGTTTTTAATATAAATCACTAAGAAAAAACAGATACTAGTATATAGTATTTTGAATTGTAGTATCTAGTATCTAGTATATAATATGTAGTATGTAGTATAAGGTATATAGTATATAGTTTGTAGTGTGTGTAGTATCTGTTTTTCCCCAGCAATTTATATATATTAAAAACCAAAAATTTGAATGGACAAAAAAACAGAAAAAAAAAACCATATACCTGTTTTTTCCTCTTTCACTATCCCGTAGACCGGTTATCACCTTGTCCCTGGACCTGTTGACGTTCATACATTGCACATTATGAGTTGGGGCTGTATTCTCCAATTCCAAAAAGGCAGCATAGTGCTCATTAGCAATGGAACTCCTGCATTTGTAGACTTCTTTTGCTCTTGTTCAAACAAATCCAGAGTTTTGTTAAATGTGGCGTGTACCAAAGCTCTGCACGGCAGAAACCTAACACCTTTCAAAAAGTTGTTGTAACTCTCCGACATATTGGTTGTCAATGTGCCCCATCTATTTCCTTCATCTCCAAACAAGTCCACTGTTCAAAAGAATTTTGGAAAGGTACTCGTGTGCAGTGGGACTAAATGCATTGAGTCGCTCTCTGAAACTTTCGCTCCGACAACTGTGAACCCAAATCCCAACACCAATTCCGAATTTTTTTACTCCTAAACTTAGTAATCACGTTGCTTCGAAGCAGTTGAACGCAAATCCGGTGATATGCAGCGGGTTCTTGCCAATCTTCCAATGATTCCATGGCACTGCGTATGCCCTTATCCCTATCGGAAAGGACGCAGATCTTTCTGTCGAATACAACATATAGCCGTAGATTTGTCAAGAAAAATGACCAACTATCCTTACTTTCTTCATCCACAATCGCATAGGCGATTGGAAATAGCTGCTTATTCGCAGTCTCTGCTATGGCCACAAGCAATTTTCCCTTGCACGATCCACGCAAATGTGTGTCATCGATGCTAATAACCGGCAGGCATCTATGAAAGGTTTCAATGGCTGGACCAAACGCCCAGAATACAAATTTATGCGCCATTTCTCCACCCTGCCATTCTCACTGTACAACTGTGGTGGGATTCGCTTTTTGAAGCGCGGCAAAAATCCTGCACATTACAAAACGTAATCATAAATAGATAAATTAGTGAAAAACAACACCTATATTTGTAATTAATTTTTGCTTATTGAGGGAGTTCTGCGAAATTCGATTTCCAACTGCCATACACACGATCGATGACTTTCTTCCTTCCGTGCAATGTCTTCTTATAACTGACATCAACTTTCCAACACTTTTTCACATCTGCCTAGATCAGGCTAACATTGTAGTCCAGTTGCTATTCAATCTTATTCATTACCAGATTTGAAATCATACTGGCGGTTACATTTTTGTGGTCATTATTCTCGACCGGTTGCATACAACTGTGTCTATCAGTTCATTCCGTTAATTCTCACATTTCATAAACCCGTTTGAGCTTAGTCACCCGAGTCCTCCACAGACAAGGTTCATCTTCGGCAACACTTTGAATAACTTTTTATTAGAATCTTTTGTCCGAACCGCCCTCAACCTATCAACGTTCCAAGCCAAAATACCCATTTGTGCTTCTTCCTTGCTTCTAAAATTGTACTCAAACCTATAATCTCAATGTCCTCATTCCAAAGTAGAAGAGCAAACTCGTTCTCATCTATCTTCGACGGCTGTCATTCACCCATCTCGCGATATATGTGGCGACCACCACTAGGTAAGGGGTGTTCTTCTTCAATCAATTCGGGTTCACTCTCCTCATTTATTGATCTATCTGATTCGCTTTCTGAGGTCTCGTCTGAAAAATCATCTTCACCAGGAATCAAATCTTCATCACATTCTTCCCCGTTCTCATTTTCCAATTCTCTCATTGTTGAACTTGTCCTTTATCCAAAATTACGTACATGCGAAGTCGACGTACCCTCAACATCAACCACTCCCCCTTAACAAGGTGTAACATCCCCAACTTGTGTAATTGCCTACAACGCTACATGCAAATACACAATGGACATAGGAGGAAAGTAATAAATCCACTGAAGAGCAATATCGTTATTGAGTCTTTCGGCATTCCACAAATCATCGTGTTGTCTAACCATTAAAGTAATCTCCTCAATTTTCCAACCTTCTCGAAACCTACCACTTTCATAAATCATCTCTACCAATTGTTCATTTGATATCTTCCCCCCAATAACAAATGAACCATCCGGATGTTCTTTAAATAAAACAAAATCGCATAACAAATTCTTGGAAAAATTCCAATACAAATTAACAAAGTATGGACCGCTATACGCCATTTATACCTATTGCAAAAAAACACTTTCAATTCTTCTCAATTACAACAACACATAATGTCTAATCCAACACCCAAAAAATTCAATTATGCTTTTACTATTTTAAATTTAAAACTCATTTTCAACAACATATAATTAATGATTTTTTTACTCCAACCAAAAAAATATTGCCAACCAAAAAAAATATTCTCAATTAATACTACAACAAAAAAAAATATTGTCAATTATTTTATCAAACAATCCTCCGAAACCCTAATACCCATAATCCAACAATAACATAGAATTCATCCATATTTTGGATAAATTTTCAACATACACCAAAAAAAGAACAAAGTATAATCATTTAACACAACTATTAAATCAACAATCAATGTTTTCTAAACAATACTCATTAACCCAAAAATATTTCTTACACATTCATAAACAACAACAAAATGTGATTACATTACATTAAAATAACAATAACCTCTTCTCTGTACCGATTGAGGGTTGAAACCTTTTTTTTTTTAAAGTGAAAAAAAAATCGGAGTGAATGAACCCTAAAACCCAAATTCCGATCTGAAAATGAGCAGATTTTGCATATTTATAATTCGACAAAAAACGTATTTTAAGAATACGTTTTTAGATATTTATTTTTTTATTAAAACGCACGTCAAATTTGCGTTTAATAGGTTTCTATTTTAAAAAAAATTAAATTATAGAAACGTATTTCGCAAATACGTTTTACAAACCCTAAAATTGATTTAGAGTTTTTAAGAAAACGCATTCCCAAAATACGGTTTAATAGGTTTTCTTTTTTTTAAAAAAAATTAAATTATAGAAAAATAAAACGTATTTCGAATATATGCTTTATAAACTCTAAAATTGATTTAGGGTTTTAAAAAAAAAACGCATTCTTAAAATACGGTTTATAATTATTATTTTTTATTTAACTTCGACTTTTTTTCGGAAATAAAATTTTTTTACATTTTACAAATATAATTTTAAAACGTATTACAAGAATACGTTTTTAAAAAAAAAAAATAATTAAAAGAACGTATTCTGAGAATATGGGCTTTTGATTTTTGTCCAGAATTGTTTTTTTGTTTTTATTTTTGTCCACTTAATATTTTTATTTTTTATATATATAAACCACCCCTTGAAAAGATGTACGATATGATTCGTTCACTCAGAGAGAATAAAAAATATTCGAATTGTGACATGAGGTGAGTCCTCTGGCACATGTAAAGCTATATCACGATTCCTGACACTAAGCTGAAAATATATTGTGAATATATATGATTTTAAGTGACAGTACTTACTCTTCAAGCAACCAGTAGCTGCGCCTTTGAAAGTTTTCATTATCTTCGCCATGAGCATAGTAACAGTGCAACATATCAACACTTCCGACCTGAATAAATCAAAAGCAGCATGAACCCCCATGCAACAAACTTCCCCAGACCTCTCTTGTAGTTTCTTATTTCTAAGATATATCACATGTTCACAGTCCTTGCTACGTGAACAAAACTAATTTTGATAGTAAAAGTTACATTAAGTTATATGAAGTAATTACACTCTTATATTAATTATGTGCATCCAAATAGAGTTGTTGACTGCAACATTCTACAAGGATGTGGCACCCGCTCAGCCACAGGCATCCAGATCCAATCAAGGAAAAAATATGTATTTGCAACTAGACAAATTATAGAATAGATTGAACATGATAGAAACCTTATAGAAAGCACACAAGCAACATAGACTGCATTACAGGTCAATAAATAAAATGACAGGGTGTACAATACTTCGAGAAAAAATTGGTTTTGCTGACAGGTTCCCTGGCCATATTCTGCAGAATAATAACTGAATCCTAGACCAAGTGGCATGGCAATGAGTCAATTTTATAAAGGAAAGGCTGCAAGCTCAAAACTCAATTTTATGCTGAAAGGAAAACAGGATCAACTGGTTCAATCATCACACAGAATAATGCAAAACAATTCAGGTCAAGCATTATTTGTTTTGGTTTGGAGAAGAAGTTCTCCTGAACTGCATGAATTAAAAGGCTTTTCAACTGACAGGTCGGACTGCATCAACTACAAATATGGTTTCTTCCAGGGAAGATGGAAGAATTAAAAATCATACTACTCGAGAAAAACTGAATAATAACGCAGACTAGAACAAATATCTTAAGTCGGCATCTGCACTCCATAATTATAATTACCTTCAGTTTCTCATGAGCTTCTTTGACAGTTTTCCCATCCTTTTTCTTTCTCCAACTATGTCCATCCTTCCGGAAGTATCTTAGTACCTTCCGATCAAAAAGAAAAACAGAACCACCTGACAAGCATTTATCAACAGTGGACAGGATTATTACAAAAGATAGCCTATTACAAACTAAAACAGGACTATGCGATTGAAAACACAGACTTTGCATCTTCCCTCGAGTAATTTATTTAGTTCTTCCCATGAAGCAAATATGACGAAACAAATATAGGCTCTACAGAAAAGGTAGAACCAGAAAACAAATACCATCTTCAAGTCTCAGATCCCTAGACAAATTAACGATCTTCAAAGATTGATGATTGATTAACAGTCAAACTGAAACAATAAGATACTAAACTTACAAGAACATGATCAGCTGATAAGCCAAAGAAGTAGTTATTCACACATCACATACTAACTACTGTCAATAATTCAATCTAAGATTATCAAATATATACTAATGGAATCTCAAGCTTGCTCCAGAAATGTGTTCAAGACAACACCGGCTATCTTCACCTATCAAATACCCAGTGAGTGCTATCCAGAAATATTGGCAGGAAATTTCAAGTGTGATACAATCTCTTCGTACCCCCCAAGTCTCCCATTCCCAACAACCAGGCACCTCATCTCATCTTCATCTCAAATGCCATACACAGAAGTTACTTACCTATACTTTTACAACAAGATCACTAGACATGAGCATCTATAATGATAAACATCCAGGCAGGAAATTGCATTCTAACATCCAACGAACTGATATCAGATTGTACCTTTCCAACTTTATCTTTACCCACAAACTTGAACAATATAAGCATTGTGATATTTGTTATGGCACAAATTTTTAAGAAAAAACCAACACCAAGAATTTGACAAAGAGAGTCATGTAATGTGAGGAAGAACAATAAAAAAGTCCCAGTACAAATTTTGATGCAAATATAGCACACAGGAATAGTCAACTTTTGTGGAAAAGAGACAAAAAGATTTATGAAAAATATAGAAATAAGTCATACAATACATCATTTTATACTGTATTTCAAGAGTTCAACGTCTATCATATATGAAAACATAAGATAAACTAATCAGAGAAACAAAATTGAAAAATGTCTGGTATATCAATCTTTTGCATTCAGCTATTCTTTTGAAGCTGAGGAGTCAGAGAGCATTATTCATAATCACACATAGAAGAATTATAATCTTCCAGAGGTAGTTTTCTCAGCCATCAAAGGGGATTAGTATTTTTTCTCAGTTATGTAATAAGAGTTCCTATAAATATTAAAACTACTGTATTTGTCTATAAATCAAGTATAAATAGTTAATGAACAAAGTACTGACTAATGATAGGACGTACTGACTGGCTTATTTGGAGCCTCAGGAGAAATATGAAACTTTTGATAGTTTCTTAGAATTTCTGCTATTTCAGCAGGTCTTAGCCAGCGATGCTGGGCTTCGAACAAGATCTGCTTTATATCTGCACAATTTAAAGAATTACAGTTCAGAAAAATAAATAAGAGCATATTAACTGTATGTCCTTCTTATAAAGTGCTTGTTAGCAAATATCTCGCGACTGAAATACCATATATAACTTTATAATTGACCAATTAAATTTGCACTTAAGAAATAATTAAGCGACAGGATAGAATGAAAAACACAAGGAACAGTTCTGCTTTAAAGCCTCCACATACAGGTGACATAAAAGATGGTACAAAATGGATAGCAAAAAATAGACACAATCCAGAAAATACTACCCTGAAAAATTTTATTTAACAAAAATTATCTTTCTGTTCAAGAAAATACTCCCTCCACCCGGCAACAAACAGGATTATTTAACTTCCACACATTTTAAGAGACCTTCAATCAATGTTGTTGGAGAAGTAAATTTCACACCATTTACCAAACCTAATAAACCTTTTATGTTGGTATGCACAAAAAATTATTAATTTGCTAACCAGTAACCATTCAAATTAAACAAGGTTGAAGGGAAAATTTATATTCTAAATTCTCCATTTAAAGAAATAACCCTATCCTTGTGTAATAAGGAAATTAGAAACCAAGCCTATCTTCTTTGAAGGGGAGGAATAAGTTATGCTGAGCACAGAGCTGTTAGCATAGCACGGTTCTCTATTTAAGTGAATCCAACTACACCTCATAATAATATTGTTGATTTATAGTTCTGCCAGTTGGTATGCTAAGATTCCTCATGGAAATAGATTTCACATTATGCAACCACTTCATTGAAGTTGCAAAACATAATGCAATCACATATTAATGTTTTTTTCTTTTCACTTGAACAAATAAAAAGTTTGTACTCGTGATCCAGAAGAAGCATAAGTTGATAATTAACCAGTAAAATACAAGAATCCGCACATGATCAAACAGTCGTCATCAAACACTAAAGCATTCATAACAGATTATGTCTTTCCTATTGTCAAATCTGGTAAAGTTTCCATTATACCAAATTCAGGACACGGATTAGGTAAAAATGGAACATACTCTACAGTTGAAAACAAAATTAATAGACGAAATTCATGAACAAAGAGTTAATTAGAATATAAGGTTGAGCGGAAATCGTTACCCAGTCGGAACCCTGGACTGCTCGATCCGCTTTCAGCCATGGGTGACTGATCACTGAAGTCAAAAGCTTCTGGTCAGCATTCATACATAAACGCGCTAGACAGGAAGAAGAAAGAATAGCACCGAAAGAGTGAATTTTTTACACAGCAGATTTTGCGGAGTACGCTTGCCGTTTGGGGAAGTATAGAGTCACGCGCACTTAGAAAATTATTGACGCACAGCCAATGGGTACCACAGGTCCACAACGCGTCTATAAGCATGTAAATATATTTACAATATCAGTATATTTTTTATTTAAATTATATTTAGACAAATCTTCTCTATATATAATTTCAGAATAGGTTGAGTTTACGTGGCAAACTTTCACGCTTCGTAACCCTATTTGACAAAAAACTATGCTTTGGAGTTAGGGTTGGATATAAAATTAATATTTCTTATCATACTAAATCCATAATTGATTTTTTATTTTTTTACTTCTACAATTAGTTACCATAAATTAATTTATATTTCTTTTTCATACATTACCATACATTACATTTTAGTTTTCTTATTTAATTTTTCACTAGTACAATACTCGTGCAACACACTAATTAAGATTTTTTTTTCTTGACAATATTAACCGTATTTAATGGATGTTATGAGAAACGATGGATATGAGATATGAAGAGATATTGTGTATTAGATGGAAGGTTAAAATGAAAAAATATGAACAAAACATCTAAAATGACATTTATTTTATCAAAGATCAATTAAGCCAAAGCGACAAATAATAAAAATAGGAGGGAGTATATATTATTATATATTTTAGTATGACATATGTTACTTGTGCGACTTATATGTGTTTTATTATAATAAATTTTCTACATTATAACCTATAACTACATTAAACAAAAATTTATTAATTGATAAATAATTTTATTTTCTAACTAATTTTAATAAATAATTTTATTATTGTTATAAAGATAAATATAATTTATTTATTTTATATATACAATATGGATGTCAAATCGAAGCTCATGAAAAAATGATTAATTTGATATATTATATATGTAAAACCGATAAGAAATACAAAAGTTATCAACTTTTAAAATATATTTGCAATTCGATGGTTATAATAGGAAATGATATTAAAATACAATTAATATAAATATTAATTTATATCTAAACCTAACTCCAAAGCATGATTTTTTGCCAAATAGGATTCCGAAGCATGACAATTTGCCACGTAGGCTCAGCGCATTCTGAAATTATATATAGAGAGAATTAGTTATTATAAATGTCTCTTCTTATTTTAAGATTTTATAACTTTTTGTTTCTATTTTATTTTTTATATATGATACTAGTGCGTGCCCCGTGCGATGCACGGGAAACAATATTACGATTGTATTATAAATTAAATATATAAATAACATTAATCATGATTTATCCATTATTTTTAAATTAAACCGGGTTAGACACAATCTGACCAGATGGACCGAGAACCGATTTATAACCAGTCTAGTTCGCTTGAATAAAATATTTGCTCTCGAATCTGTCAACACCAGTCGGTTGGACTGGTAGGATCGATACGATTTTCTAAATAAATTTTATTATATTTAAAGTTATTTGAAATAAAATTACATATTTAAATAAAATAGAGATTTATAAATTATATATCAATTAGTTTAAACATTTGAATTTATTAACTGTTTAGACATCTAAGTAACACATTTTATTTAAATTTATTACAAAAAGTACTATATATATATATTAAAATATTGATAAATTAAAATCTGAACAAACCACAAATTAAAATCAATTAGACATCTAAATGATTTATAAATTAAAAGTACTATATATATATTCAGTTTTATGTACAAAAAAAAATAAAAAAAAATTCAAATTTAATGGTACGGATATATGGGATTGTATGATGACGAATAAACAAATTCCTTTATTTTAGGATATATCCGATTTCAATTTGTATTTCAAATTAGATTCTTAATTTGTAGGCCTCCTAATTCATAAATGATGATTCGTTTTTATGTAAATAAAAAAGAAAAAAAAATCAAAAAACAGTAAGCAATTAATGTTGTCCTAAAATTTCTAGTTACTATTTATAGTAAATAGTAATTCTGATTATATATATTTATAGATATCAAATTAACTATCTTTTAACGATTTTTTATTTGACATCCATATTATATATATAAAATTATTTGCCTAAATTCTAAAATTACATATAAAGTTAGAAAACTGTGAAGCACGACGGATACGATATTTGATGTATTAGACATCTAATTAAGTAAAAAATTAATCTATTTTTCTTAAAATAAAACAAACATATTATGCACTTATGCATATACATATCACCATGTCATTTCTATTTGTTTAAGATATAATTTTTTTTTACTTAATAATAGTAAATAATATTGATAATTTATATGATATAAGTACAAAAATTCAATATAAGTTGACATTTTTGTTTAATATATGGGTGTTAGTTATTATGATTAAAACAATATAATTTGACAATTTAATTAAATCCCAAAGTAATTTTTTTATATAAAATTAAATTTTTTTAGTTTAAAAAAATTAATATTTTTACATATGCTTCCTAATTCAACACACGTGTATTTACACGGGTATTGTATTAGTATGCTTTATTCTAGAAAAACAAATTTATCTATCTATATTCTATGGGTCACTTTGGTTGGCATGATATTGCTTGATATGCTTTCATTTGTTAATATTTCCTATTTATTAATGTGTTTGGTTTGTTCATTGTCAGCCCTTGAAATGTGCAAAGCCCGATTCAATTATACCCAAACTTGGGATACCACATTCGGCCCCAAAGGATTCACAGAACTGTAATCAATCTTTTTTGGTCTTTGATTTTCCATATATGTCCTCAGCAAAAGCATTCAAAGAACTGAAAAAATCCATCTCAATTGCACAAATTTTGAAGTCCCAAATTAACAGCTCTCGCCGGATCCACAGTCCACCAATTCGACAGATCTATTGTCCTTCAAGTTGCCCCAGCCAGATTCTTCGTCCTTCAAAGTCCAGATCCGCCGTCCTTCAAGTTGCTGCCAGTGAATTTGCTGAGGAAGAAGGCAGCATCGCCGACGAATGCGGAGTCTCGGTGCCCCTAACAGCAGAAATTCGAGACGAGAATAATACATTATCAATTCAAGACGAGAATAACAGCAGAATTCGCGGCTCCTGTGGCGGCGGCGACGCCACCACCGTCGAAAGACGGGCTCCACAAATCGGAGAATAATGCGGTGTCCATGGCCTCGCGTGAGAAAATTGAGTCAATTTTTCCTTATTTTTCTTCTCTTTGTTCAACTTGTAGGGGGATTTGTGTAATTGATATGATTTTTCACAATTTCCGATATCTACTTTTCTCCATAATGTTTCAAGAATTTCTGAAAATTGATGAAAAGTTTATGCACATTTTTTTTCATATTGATGGTAATATTTGTAAATTTAATTCAAAATGAAGGGTAAAAATGTAATAGCATGTTATTATCAACTTCAACCAAACATGTTAATGTTCTTGAAATAATCAAACACATAAAGTTAATAAAAACAATAGGAATTAATCATGCTCAATCAATTATTGTAACCAAATTAACCCTATATATATTGAATAAGATGGTTGGAATCATCTAAAATAATAATTTTGATTTAAAAAATATCACTTTAAAAAATAATTTGAAGTCAATATCACTTTATTTTAGGTAAAATAACAAGGTGTAAGATAATCAAACACATAATTTAAACACATATTTGAAGTCGATATCACTTTATTGAAGTCGATATCACTTTAAACATGTGTTCGAATCATCTAAAATATATAATTTTAATATTTTTTTAGATCAAATTATACTTACATGTTTCAAATCCTGCAATTCGGTTAGTAGGATGACTTTCTATATAAATAAAGTGATATCGACTTTTAAAATTTTTTTGGGATAATTATCACAATGAAAATCTGATTCTTTATATTAGTTACGAATCACTGCAATTTCTTATGCATTTGATAATCAACCATATACCGTGATTTTCTACAACATGTCTTCAAGAAAACGACTATTAAATAGGTTTTTCTTTTGTAGAAAATATTACTTGAATATGCATGATGTAACTGCAAATACAATCAATCAATCAACAAATCGTTAAAATCTCATTAAGTGGGGCCGGCTATATGAATCGCATGTCGCCATTGTTCGATCAAAACACATATGTTCATTCAAATTTAAATATTTTAAATCATTTTTTATTGTCTCCGTCCAAGTTTTCTTAGGTCTATCCCTCCTCCATTTAATGTTCATTCTTAATTCTAATGTTTCTACCCTCTCGACCTCGAAGTCTTTCCTACACACATGCCTAAACCATCTTAATAGTGATTCCCTCATTTTCTCCTCTATGGGCGTTACCCCAACGTTATTTCTAATACTTTTATTTTAAATTTTATCTAACATACTATGCCCACACATCCATCTCAACATTTTCATCTCAGTCACTCGCATTTTCTGACCATTTTCATATTAAGTAATCCAATACTCGGATCCATAAAACGTCATTGGTCGTTGGTCTTTCAATAACAAATAAAAATTGAAAATCAATTATGTCGATTTGACATGCAGATTATAGTTTAGAAATAAAAATTATTAGTTTATAATATATATTGTTACAAATTATGATGACAAATTAACGAATCATCTGTCGAACTATCAATGTAAATTATTAATTTATCGAACAACGATGTAAATCGTTAGCTTATAATGTATATTGAACAACGATATAAATTATTAATTTATTGAACAACGATGTAAATTATTAATTTAGTAAAAAAAATTATAATGTATATTGTTATAGATTATAATGTTAAACCCAATAAATTATCTATCGAACAACGATGTAAATCGTTAGCTTATAAAAAATAAAAAAAAAATTTATAATTCATATTGTTATTCACTATAACGATAAATCAGCTTTAATAGATTACAACGAAAATTTAAAATACTTGTAATATATATCATTATAAATTATAAAACACATAATAAAATAATATTGATGTAATTAAAAAATATTAATTTTTTTAACTTTAAAATAATACATATTGTAGTATTTTCCAATTAATTGTTGGTTATGATATTTTCCACAATCTTTTAATTTTAGAATAACTTATTTAGGAATTGAAATATTGTAATGACGTATGAGTAAGGAAAGATAGAGAGAGAAGTGTTCTATTAGTATTATTTTTTATAATGTTTGAATATGTTAAATTTTTATTATCCTTAATTCTAAACAAGAACTCTAAAATGACAACTATTTTATAACTGGTAAAATAAACATATAAATTATATGTCCAACTATTATATACTATAAAATAAAAAGAAAAAAGTATCAATATTCAAAATTATTTTTATACTAATCAATATTCTTTCATTGTTTTAATACATGCAATTTATAATTATTGACCTGTGCATCGCACGGACTACGTACTAGTTACTATATAATAAGGCCAAGGTTTTACCTAAAATAGTAGGTAAAATCTCATTAGATTTACTAAATTTAGTTTAAATTTTAAATTTTAAATGAAAATAATTATAGATTTTATTTCTTTCTTCACAGTAGCCTATTAATATATAAAGAGGCAACCTAAAAAATACTTAAATAGTAACTAAAAAATCATTTGAAATCCCGCCTAAAAATATAACTAAATATAGAAATTTTTTTGAAAATTTTCGCAATATGCGCCACTTATTAAATCATTTGAAATTTTTGAAAGATTGAAATTTTTTGTCTAACATTCCAAAATTCGAAAATCCTGCCTAAATTTTAGTGATCCCACGCCACTTATAATTGCAATAATAACTTCAATGATCTCACGGGGTTTTCCAAAATTTGCTTTAGAATTTTTTTTTTGTTTGGTTTGGTATATAATATATATCCATAATTGCATTTTTTTTTATATTTGTATTTTGATTTGACTATTAATGCGATATTTTAAAAGTTTATATTCCGAAATGAATTAATGATACCTTTTCAAATTCCGCAATAGCTATTTTATATGACGTATTGTTACAGTTATTAAATCAAATCAAAATGGAGATATAAAAATAGAATTTCAATCAAATAAACTATTTCTAATAATATATCATGATAATGTGATAAGCACAATCTTTTGAATAAGAATCTCAAATGTTAAAAACTCAAATGTTATGAGATATGATAATTTACATCCCAAATTTTTTTGGGATTCTAACAAATCCAACAAATTCAGAAATACATCATCAAGATAGATGGTAATTCTTTATATTCATATATAATTTTACGGTTTTCTTTTTATTTAAGTTTACAAAATCATAACACACGATTTCGCTATTTTAATCTATTTATTGATTTCCTTTAAATAAAGATATATAACTATAAATTAACCATATCTATTTTTATATCTATATGTATATAAAACATTGATTATTCTTTAAATAGTAATATATATATATATATATAATAAGAATTAACATTTATCATAAATAGTAGTAAGAAAAGTCAAACCGCATTCATTATATACTATTTTCAGAAATTTCTTTATTTTACATTTTAATTTTAATTCATTATCAAAAAATTGGATGGTTCCTAAATTAATGGGTTTTAGATGCTTTCAAAAATTATAAAATCATTTAAAATCGGATGGTTCCTAAATTAATATTTACAAACTTTTCAAAGTTGTAATCTTTATGGCATCTTTTTTTTTAACTTTTAATAATAAAATTATTTTAAATATATATATTCTAATCCAAAAATTCAATCATGTTAATATATATATATATATATATATATTGAACGCTAAAAATATTCTTTAAATTGCATAC